ACCCCTCAGCTTGAGGCCAATAGAGGCAGGACACGCCAGATTCGCGTAGCACAAAAGCTTCAGTGCTGACGTGCTTCAAACGAGTAATCGGCGCGCAAGACTGAAGAAGGTGACATTTTGGACAGATTTTGACGACAAATCAGACGCCGTCCGTTACCCCAGGTGTTGTGTCAGCTGTGTGATGGTGATGACTACGACAAGAGTGAGCGGCTGGTGCAGGCGCGATGAATGGTCACATGACTCGGCCGGGCTATCGCATTATCTTGTAAAAGTTATCCTCAATGTGGTCTCAACAGCATACCTACTTCATTTACACACCGAGAAGCTTTCCATGATTCTTCTCCAAACAGATACTGTGACTGCGGTATACGGGGAGCACTCTCCATCGAGTGCAGAACTTGAGAACCACAGTTAGTCTGCTCTTCGCCCAGACCTCTTGCTCGAGCGACAGATAGATGGTTGGATTTATACAGATCATTGATCGATGGAGTCCCTTGTGCTGTTCTCATGACACCGACCCCTTATCTAGTTCCCATCCTAGATCAAATGCTTCCAACATGCTGTCACGGGTAATGAATCTGGAACTCATACTCAACGTCGCTATATCCTCGAATTCTGATGCATCCAAGATTCGGCCAATTCCTCGCAGTCAGCTTGCTCTCGACTGGTAAGAAAGCATACATACCGGGCAACACGCGCCAAAATACTTCTACTCTCCCACCACCACACTCAGGCAAATAAACTACTACCACGAGCCCCAGCCTAAAGAAGCCGAAAAGAGAATGCATCAATGTTCATGACATAAAAGCTTTTTGATTCATCTCTATCCAATATACTCTACATGCCGCGCCCAGTGCCGATCCCGCCTCAGCGCCCGGACGTCCCCCTCATTTAAGCACGCCATGACGCCCAGATCGCCATTCTCCGTGCGCGACCAGAAATACACACACCCCTCGAACGGCGCCGAGGTCGGCCGCCGCACAAGCGAGGGGTGGCCCAATGCATCCCCAAACCCACAGCTGTACAGCTCCGTATGCGCCAGCGATGACACCCCGATGTCCGTCTCGGGGTCGAAGTCGCCGCCGAACATGATGGTCGACTTGTCGGGCTCCTGCGCGATGAAAGTAGCCCAGCTGCGCACGGCGTACGCGTGGTTGACCTCGCGCACCTGCGCCCGCAGCACGCCCGCCGTCTCGCCCAGGGTCATCGTGTCGAGGTCCCCGTAGGCGACCCGCGTCGTCGCGTTGTACCCCATCTGGCCCATGTACTCCGGGGAGACGTCCATGGCGCGACGGCTGTCGACGGCGCGCGAGAATTTCGTGCGTCGGTGCGCCGGCTGCGGCCTCTGGCGGCGGCGGGCTGCGGCGATGCGTCGCCAGAGGAAGGCGCAGAGGGCGTCGTTGGTGGAGACGAGGGGGATGAGCTTGTGGAGGGAGGAGGAGGCGAGTTCCGTGTTGGCGAGCTGCTTGATCTGCGCCATTTGCTTGGCGGGGACTTGGAAGAAGTGCCAGCTGGCCGGGGCGCGGGGGGCTGGCAGGGATCTGGGGATGGCGGGGCGGCGGAGGTGGGAGTGGTCGAGCATGGGCTCGGAAGGGTGGAGCAGCGGGATGATCGTGCGGCGGTCGCGGTTGCCCTGGCTCAGTTCGGTGGCCGTGAAGGGCTCGTGGCGCAGGGCTTTGGCCAGCAGCCGCGCGCATTGGAAGAGGCCCCCGCCGTCGATGAAGTTGTGCTGCGCGGCGAGGTCGAGGAGGAGCCCGCCCTCGATGAAGTTGGCTTGCATGATGAAGACGCGCGCCGGCTCGATGCTCGAGTCTTCGTATCGCTCCGGGAACGAGACCACGGGTCCCAGCGCGCTGACGGGCAGCATTGAGCATGGCCCTCGCGCGGCGCAGATCTCTTGGTAGGACGGGCAGATGCTCGAGGCATCGCGCACGATGACGAGGTCTTCCGGCTGGCTGAACTCGGGACACGACTGTAGCCGGAAGGTGCCTGAGTTGCCGGGGGTCCGGCCCTCGTGCACGACCTCGGCTGCTAGCCAGGGGAACTCGGAGATGAGGGTCTCCGTGGCTGTGTATAGGGCGTTGATGGCTGCCCTTTGGGCGTGTCGGTCAGGGATGGGGAATGATAGTAAGAGGTGGGTGTAGGTTTTGAGGCCGGCCAGCTGGCCGATGTCGTCTTGGAATTTGGAGAGGTCGAACATTGTGGCGTTTGGGTATATGTGATTCGGGTTGGTTCAGTGGAAATCTATGTTCTTGATCGAAAAGTGAAAAGACAAAGCAGTGGGTATAATTCTATAGACGACAATAATGCTAACAGGACAGGCGCTGGAATGAGAAGACAAGTCGTTGATTCATGAGGTTTGTGAAGGATATTGAGCCATTATCGTGGAAGCAGCCTCCGGTTTATATACTTGCGACAAGAGTATGAGCCATCGCAGCATCTATACACCAAGACTGAGGTTGTACTTGGGAGCATTGGGGGCCATGGCAGCCGCTTAGGGCTGCTGAGGGTCGGTTCGGGAACGCGTGCATTAGTGCGCCCCTAACACGAACAGGATCGCAAAACTCCGAGAGGACGTGCTCACAAAGTCCGCTACTCCGAAATGCTCAGGCATCGTGAGATGGGAGCGGGGACGACATGCAGATGAAAGTCAAAGTCAAGTGGTTATGAGGCTCGAACTGCAGTCATGGGCCAATCGGGGACTGTTGACTCACGACTTCGCACAGGCACTCTGTTGCCGAGATGTTGAGTTGAGACTTGGCTCAACGAAAACAAGACATCCAGAACTTTCTTCCTTTCTACAGATCAGAACACCCTTGGGTCCAGAACCTTGTAAAAATGGTGCCATTGCCGAGACGGACAAGCCGCCTCTCCGATTGAGGCATCTACAGCCACATGGAGACACGTGGAGATACGTGGAGACAACGACGCTGTAGGTCAAGAGGGCTACAATCTTGATTGGAGATGATAAGGTCTAGATGCCGGCTGAGATTATTCGCAAAGGATAGTTTTGCATACTCGGTCGCGAGACCATGACTTGAGATTCTCTGTGAAGACGTTGACTGGTCATTCGGCAAGCCATATGGGGGATAAAGATAAAGAATCGAAGAAACGTAGAACTGTTGTTAGTCTTACTAAGGTGACTAGGCCCAAAATGACAGCTCACTGTAACTTAGTTACTGCCTAGTAGTAGGTTCCAGCCCCGTTCGACCCCTTGCCCAGGCATCCAATGGCTGCCTGCTTCACTGCAAGGCTCTGCGAGTTTGGAGAACATCATTGGCTGACGAAGCGCCAGAAGACGGATTAACTTTACCTCACCTTCAAAGCAAATGCTGTACATAAGATGCCAACAATCCAAGAGATTCCTTTGATTAATAGCGCAATCGCTATTCCTACCCCTCTCTGTATGAGCCCTCGGTATCTTTGCCAAGCATAGACTAAACTTGGAAGAAATCCCAGTCCGCCTTTTCCGGAACACTATCTCAGCATGGCTATCGAATCAGACGACATCACCTGGTTCGATGAGGATGATCTCCTTGGCACGGAAATGTCCTTCCCATCTGGTTCAGCATGGAGGTTGGAAAGCAAAATCTACGAACATAGTTATTATGAGGAACAGTCTGAATGTGAGGCTTTGGAGATTCATTCCGAGGCCCGTGGGGTGTTCTCTTGCTCCAAGGTGTCGGGGAGTGGGCCACCCACTGCAGTCATCGAAATTCGTCAGCAGTCAGTATCCTCCAACCAGTCGGAAGAAAAGCACATGTTGACATTCGATGGCCAGGATTCCGTGGTGGAAAACCGCGACGAAGAGGCCTGAAACTCGTGCCAAGCAAGCTTCTTCGGAGATCCCCAGAGCCTTCAGTTCAGAGATCGAGGCCTTGTCCCATCTGATGAAGGCTGGCTGCTCCAGTACCCCTTCTCTACTATCCTGGAAGAAAGAACAACAGGCAATTGATGAATGGGTCCCGGGAGGGTACAAGCTGAGTATCTTGATGGAGAGGCTACCGGGGTCCAATCCGGGGGACTCGCTTTTTTCAGGTCAGATGCCTCGTGATGAGCGAGACTCTTTGAGGAAGGCCTTCAAGGCAGCGTGGTTGTAAGTTGTGGTTTCCTATTAGAAATTTAAACAACCTGTGCCGCGGCAGTCTCTACCGCCCGGGCTCTGCGGGAAAGCTGACGAAATCCCTGGAGAGACGGTCCGTTGTGGGGTTATCCATGGAGACGGATCGACAATTAACCTTCTTTGGAACAGAGAGAGTAAAAGATGGTAAGACCGCCCACTAACTAGCTCTGCCTCTTCGCTCGAAGCTTTACCTCTGACTCTAAGTGTCCAGCTACTTGATCGATTGGGAGTATTGGCGCTTCACCAAGGAAAAAACTCGCTGGGGAGATCGCCTCTACATCCGCTGGAATCTGGCACAAGAAGGGCCATCGCATAACCTCTTCGATATGTCTGACTGGGAGCTGTAAAGTCGACATGTGATCATTACTTAAGCGGGGCGCGACTGAAGTCGAGAGTAGCGGAGGTTTTCGTCTCCTAAAGACCACTACCTAACAAATATGATTATATGCCTCATTTTGTCAGACCCTCTAATTAGATTCTTGTTTCACTGCACTAGCGCATTTCTACTTTCAATGTGCTTGAACTCTTTCTCGTGGTTGTGATACTCAGCTGGGGCCAAGCACTATCCTCTGAAACTCATATCTTGTCGTTGCGTGTTGGTCCAGGCCGACATCAGGGAGAATTGCAAGCCTTAAGAGAGGTAGCGGGCAGTTTGACTTGTCTTTTGGTTCATTTTTCGTTTGGATAGAAAAGGGTTCAATGTCACCAGCGAAATGGCAAAATTCAATTTCTTTGGCAGTAACGTTTGATGGTTGGTACACGTTCCACTAGACACTTTGCTTGGTAAAGCTGATGGAGAAGGTGCTACGTGTTACTGTTGCATGTGTGAGTTCCTGGTAACTAACTTCTCAGAGGCCAAATGCTTGACTGCTACTCAAAGCATCGAAATCACAAATAAGCAGGACAAAGAACTGTTACTGTCAAGAAGGTGAGCGCAACATCTGAGGCTGACTCAGGTCCGATCGTCCGGCTCACCTTCCTAAAGCGGAAACGGCCGAAAGAGGCAACAAAGGAGTGAATCATGATCCATGATGAACAACCCGTGACTTGCCGAGGTATGAAAATGATGGAACACCACCATCATCAGAGCTTAATCATTTTTACCCACTCTGAGAGGTCCTGACTCCAAAGCACCATACTCTGACAGCTAAGTGCCCCAATTTTTATGACCAACAATAACACGCTACCAGGCGAACCGGGCGCTCCGTTCTATCGCCGAGGAATGTGTAGCGCTTCATGTAGCCGTTTCCGGCCTACGGGCCAATCCTACCGCGGAGCCCTGACCCAGACCAGAGAAGACGGGTGGCTGCAAAAGAACCATGGACATATTGCGACCAAACCGGAAGAGCAACGTGGATGGACGAAGACGATGGGCTGCGCGATCGGGATTCGCACCCAGTCTACAACAAAACCAACAAGGCCCCCTCCAACCCGTCGCAGCAGCGCAATGGCCTAAGTTTAGCACTTGAGCTTCACCAACTCCCCAAGCACCACGAGCAATCGACATATACAGCAACCATGATCCGATCAGGGTCCGGCTGCCAATGGTTCACGCGGCGGCGTCTGCAACTCTCCCTCGCCTTCGCGGTTGTTCTAGCCTGCATCTACACCATTCTCCCAGCGTCCAGCCGGCAGGACAGCTATGCGAACACCGACAATGAGTCCCCGCAACACCACAAACTCCCCTTCACCTCTCCCTCCTACGCCCGCTCCCTGTCCGCGAGGGAGCTCATCTCGCGGCCGCGCTCGTCGGACCTCGTCTCCATCCCCAAGCTTATCCACCAGACCTGGTTCCCGGCCGGGAGCAACATGAGCGAGAACGCCCAGCTCTGGGTCCAGACCATGCGGGCCCAGAACCCGGACTGGGAGTACGTCCTCTGGGATGACGAGACGAACCGGCTGCTCGTGGAGACGCATTTCCCGTGGTTCCTGCAGGACTACCTGCGTCTGCCCAAGGAGATTCTTCGGGCGGACGTCGTGAGGAATCTGTACATGTTCTTGTTTGGAGGGTGAGGCGTGACTTTTTATCGGGGTGTTCCTGGGCCAGGTTACTGATGTTTGATATATGAATAGAATGTACGCCGACGTCGACACCGAAGCCCTCCGACCGGTGGAATCGCTCTTTGCCGGCCACGACACCCCCCTTCGGGCGGCGCACAGCAGCCTCCTCGGCTCGTGGACGGGGAGGGCCAAGACGCCATCACCGCACGACGCGTCTACGCTCACGCAGCGGGCATTCCTGGGTCACATGTCGCACCGGGCGGGACTGGACGGTCCTGCGGCCGTGCCTAACGGGTGGATGGCGTCGCCGCCCGGCCACCCGTTCTGGCTGCTGCCCGTGATTCACGTCATCGAGAACCCCAACGGTAGTGAGGATGGCTCGGTGGAGAGTCTGACCGGACCCACGGCCTTGGCGTTCCTACTGCACCGCTACTTCGAGGACTTTGAGGGCGACGAGAAGACCGTCCGCAAGCATGTGTGCCAGAAGGTGCGGCGCTGGTCCCCCGGGTGGGAGATGTACTGTGGGCCGGAGGGCCACGAGGACGATGTGCCCGAGTTGCAGACGAAGGGCAGCGGCGCGCCTGTCATGGTGCAGGATAAGATGGTGATCCTGCCGCGGCAGCAGATTTACCCGTACAGCTGGGAGGACGACAAGAAGCTCCCCGCGTGCTTGGCGGCGTTCGAGAACCCGCAGTTCGATCCCGAGGCGTGTAAGCGGGCGATCGACGTGGAGGCGTGGCCGAGTTACTTCATTACGTATTGTACGCATTCATGGTGAGGGTGTGCTCATCATCGTTGTGTGAATAGTCTTTGTTCTACGATTTTTTTTTTTTTTTTTTTAGTTCAGTACAGTGTCACATAGAATGAACGCCTTGGTTTTCTGCCGGATCCAAACCAACCACAAACTAGGGCTGCGGGCTGCGGGCTGCGGGAGATGCACGCAAACGGAAGGGCCAGACCCGTCCACCCGTCCACGGTATCCGCGCGAACCGAGACATCCCTGAATGCAATGCGTCATATTCTGCTGGCAGTTCGTATGGGTAGTGGTCGCTCAGGGCCGCAAACAAGCTTTGGGCCCTGAAAATAGGGTGCAGAAACGCTGGTGCCTGGTTCTGGACCCCACAATGTCTGTCACCACTCACCACCCGCCAGTGAGTGACCGCTACTCCAGGTCAATTTTTCTTTTCTTTTCTTTTTTTTCTTTTTCGTAAAAACTTATAAAAAGCGGGGGGCCCGTTTGCGGTCAATGTTGCAGTCGCATCGCCCGCCGAAAGTCCAATGACTCCAACCCACGGCCGCAGCCCAACGGGGCCTGTACCCCCGCCCAGCACCAGCACCAGCACCAGCACCAGCAATCAACAAGCTGCCCGCGGCTCTTGGCGCGTAGACTCGGCGAAAAACAGAGACGGGCTGGTATATATCCCCTCGCAGCAGTCATGTAGTATGACGGGTCCCTCCGAGGAGAAGGGGAGTTTTGGGTCTGATTCCTTGCATCGGGGGCCACTGTCGCCATCGCCATCGCTATCGCCATCGCTCTCCGCATCTTCGCCGTGTCCTTCATCCACGTCACCCGCCTCCCCGAGCAGCATCGACTATCCCTCCGAGGTGAAGATGGCCTACTCAGAGGCATTAACCGCTGCCGCTGCGGACCCGGCCAAGAAGCCGATATGGCCGGTGGTATTGGGGGTGTTGTACGTAGATTTCATTTTCTCGGGGAGAGTATAGAATCAGCCAATTGACATTTTTTTCGGGGGTCTAGAGCCTGGGTATTCTGGTCGAACCTGACCATCCTCTTCAATAAGTGGTTGATCGAGTCGACCGAGTTCCGTATGTTCTTTCCTTTCTTCCTCTCCCAATCTCCCGTATACTGCATCTGCATCGCGCTACTGAAAATCACCACTAACATCCCCATGGCAGATTACCGTGAGCGCTTTTCCGAAAGAAACCCCCCCCCCCACCACAACCCGGAGAATACTAACAACCAGAAAAAGCAATAATCCTCACAACCTGGCACCTCCTCTTCGCGACCCTCGCCACGCAACTCCTCGCGCGGACCACGACCCTCTTGAACAGCCGCCACACCCACCGCATGACGGCCCGCACCTACCTGCGCCAGATCGTCCCCATCGGGCTCCTGTACAGCGGCAGCCTGGTCACCAGCAACCTGACCTACCTGTATCTGAATGTGTCCTTCATCCAGATGCTCAAGGCCGGCGGGCCCATCATCACCCTCCTGACCAGCTGGGGGTGGCGCGTGGCGCGGCCCTCGCTCGAATCCTTCCTGAATATCTTGGTCATTGCGTTCAGTGTCGGGCTGGCTGTTGCCGGTGAGGTGCAGTTCGTCTGGACGGGGGTGGTCTTCCAGGTCGCGAGTTTGGTGTTTGATGCCAATCGGTTGGTCATGATTCAGATTCTGTTGAGTGAGAATGGGGATCCGGGGCATGGGGGGGAGGGGGAGGGGGAGGTGGCGAAAGAGCAGGGCCAGGGCCATGGCCACGGCCAGGGGAAGAAGATGGATCCCCTGGTCACGCTGTATTATTCGGCGCCGGTGTGTGCGCTGACCAACGCGTTGATCGCCCTGGGTAGTGGGGAGGTGGCCGGGTTTGAGTGGGGGGTTGTGTCGAGGACCGGGTGGGGTGTCTTGCTTGCTAATGCTGGGGTGGGGTTTATGTTGAATGTGTCGATTTTCGTGCTGGTATGTTCCTGCCTCCATCTTCCCGGTTTTCTGTTCGGCAGAGAGCGAGGTAGGCGGAGTTGGCGAGCTAACGTCTCTAGATCGGGAAAACGTCCGGGCTGACGATGACGCTGGTCAGCGTGCCCAAGAACATCCTCTTGATTGTCTGCTCGATCGTCATCTGGGGCTCGCCGGTGAGTGCGCTGCAGGTGGTTGGATATGGGATTGCGTTGCTGGGGCTGTTGTATTATTCGCTTGGGTGGAGGACGATTCAGCCGCTTTGCGAGGCGGCCGTCACGAAGGTGAGGGGCTGGCGGCGCGGGGAGGTGTACAAGTATGAGCCTGTTTAGGCTGCGTCGTCATTTTCGAAGATGCATATGTATGATTAGATATAGATCATGAATACTAGGTGGTTAGACTTTGCACACTGTGCTGGTAGGGAAACTTGGGTATACGTAGTGAATGGTTTTCAACAAACGGAATGCTGGACTTCATTATAAATGTACTATACCAGTGGGAAGGAATACACAGTGTAGTAAGCAATAAGAAGCCAGCAAAGTTTGTTCATCTAGTATACGACCTGAAAATTCTAAGCTCTCCTGCTCACAAAATCTTGCTCTTGACTCCCGGTACAACCCAGGCCACCTTGTCGAGAATTCCCTCTTCTTCGAATGTGCTCCGAAGGTCCTTTCCAAACTCAGTGAAGTGATGCCACGACTCGTAGTGGACGGGGACGATGCGCTCAATGCCGAGCTCGCGGACCAAGCGCGCGGCATCACTTCCGCCCATTGTAATTTGCAGCGGCTCGGCATGGCCGGGGTACATCACCCGGGCAGCGCCCAGGTTCATGACGGCCAGCTTGATATGGTATTTGTGCTTCATGTGCTGCAGTTCCTCCAGGTAGATGGTATCCCCCGTCACCCAGAGGGCATTTGGCCGGCCGTCCGCGGCGTGGCCGAACGCTGCGGTATGGAGAATGAAACCGGTGCACTCGCCGCCGGGGAGATGGACGCATGGGGTGCCGGTGATCTCGTACGTCACACCGCGGATGTTGTGGGTCTGAAGTTCCCAAGGCTTGATGCCGTGGACGCCCGGGCGAGGGGCGAGGTTCTTGGCGCCGTCCATCGTGGTGACAACGTGGCGGCCGTCGAGAAGCTGACGGCCCACTGGGTCGAGGTTGTCGCAGTGGTCCTCATGGCTGAGGAGCACGGCGTCAATCGGAGGCAGCTGGTTCAAGCTCAAGGCTGGATCCTCATCGCTACAGGCCACTATAGGGCCTTTGGCACCGGGAAAAAGGTGGGTGATGTCGTGCCCAACGCCAGCAGGGCCGAAGACAGGATCGGTCAGGAGGGTGACACCGTCGATCTCGAGCAGTACGGTGGCTGTCGTGATATGGGTCAGAGAGATGGAGCTTTCGAACGAACTAGTCTTGACAGTCATGGTAGGTTGCAGTGGTGAAGACGATTGTTATTTTGTGATCGGCAAAGAAAGATTCTCGGAAAGCAGACCAAGCGAGGATTATATAGCTTGAACGAGAGAAGCTTTTGAATAAGAATGATTCAGGAGACAGGAACATGTTGTATAGGGCTATTATACACACATATCTAGGACCGTACTTATCTGCTGTGGGATCCGTCATCTAGCCGGCGCGGTGGGATGTTGGCGGTGGGCAATTGACCCACTCGGGCAACCTTGAAGTTTTATTAGCCTTTGTCAGGCTTATAAATGCCGAAGATAAGGAAGCAATCCATCCGGTGGGATGAGTTGATGTTGGTGGTCAGCAATTGGCAAGCATGCCTATTGCCTTTCACAATGCATCCCATCATTCCCTGGAATAAAAAGCTAAGAGTTACGCTCGCAAATTCCTCCCAAGTCCAACCTTCTAGCCCTTCCCGTCAATACAACCTTTCCTATCGCAATTTTTCTCATCTGCCTCGCCTCAACCATGACGTCCCTGTCATCTTCTCTCTACACAGCCGCCTCGTTTCTTTACATCGCCATCATCCCGAAACATGTCAAAGTTGGGCTCACTCTGATTCCGCAAACGATGAAGGCGGTGCCATCTACGGAGCAATTCGCTCTGGCAAAAGCTATTATTCCCGCCACCTGGCACTTTGTCAACGGCTATTTGGTCACACTTGGTATGGATGTCGCCTTGCTCGTTCAACGTTACTCATTTCTGACTGTCATTCCCTACAGCGCTCTTGAACTACAAGTGGGCCAAATCTGGAGGTCCTACGACTACAATGGAGAAGTGGATCGTAGGCGTTAATGCCATTGCCGGGGTCTTAGTCGGTGTCCAGTATCTCAAGGCTCGCCTCAACGTTGCTCTGTCGGTGCTATGGTTAGCGCCTGGTCTCAGCATTGCCGCCGGACTTCTCCAATCCCGTTGAGAATGTCCTCTTGTTGCTCCCGAACCAATCAGTAGCGATGGCCAAAGATAGGATTGCTGGTAGATGGTAGATTTAGTCTGTCACGCGGAATCATTAGGGTAGGCAGCATCGTCCGTAAAAAGCCATGCGATTTTTGAACCATAGCAGCTTAATGTCCAATCGGTGTCAGTGTTAACGGAGTATTCTCGACGGCTCCTTAAATTCGAACTAGTATATGTTGGTCAGGGTAACCCATCTCGTGCATAGTAATAAGGTGGGCCCGGTCCGAATATCAGGGCGTGATATCTCGTCGGAGTAGGGGGTGGGGGTGTGGACCCTCAGTAAGGCCCACCACTTCGTGACATCTTTTAAAAAAGACCTTCAATCCCACCTAAAGGTCCCGTCCGGATCCCACAAAACCTCATATTGATTATGTAAATAGCAGCGGGCCGGTGGGAGGGCGACCAATCTCAAAGCTCGGTAATCAAAGCCTGTCGCCATCCCGAAGATTCGTAAGCCCAGATGAGCAATTGCTCAACGCCTGGAAAGCCCTAGAAAAGGGAAAGTGAATTGTGGAAGTTGGGGCATTGTGATTTTATGGCATAGGTGGGATAGAGCTTACCGATCAGGGGTCGCCACGCTCCTGATCGGAGTAAGTATAAATAAGCCTCCCAATTACAGAAAGCAGTGGGGTGGATCAGGAGAACATCTGTGTGCTCAATCGATACTAGACCAAGATGATGGTAGGCGGCACTTCCGACGGTAACTGTCTTCCTATATCCGCACGAAACAGAAACGCTAGCTAATCTCCGAGCATAAGGCTGGAGCAGCCCTAACGACCCCGACAATCCGTTCAACTGGACGCCGCTTCGCAAGTGGTTCGTGACAGGGTTGGGCCTCCTGGCTAGCTTCGAAACCCTTATCAATGGAACTATCATTACCGTCGCCCACGAGGCAATCGGTGATAGATTTGATGTCAGTGATAAGGCATTTCCGCACTCCTACTGGCCGGTGACCTCATGGGGCCTTGGTGGCGCTGCATTCTCTCTGATTGTTCTGCCTATTATGGAAGACTTTGGGATCCGTTGGGTGTTCCTCGCGATCTATCTCTGCTTCATTTGCTTTCTGATACCACAAGCGGTCGCGCAGAACTATGCTACTTTGATTATTGCCCGGTTCTTCAGTGGAGGCTGCGTGGCCATCTTAGCCAACACGGTTGCCGGTGTGATCGGCAATATTTGGTCTGGAGACCGCGCTCGCACGCTCCCCATCAGTCTCTACATCACTATCTACATGACCTCCAGCAGTATGGGCCCTGTGTTAGGTGCTGCCATCTTCCAACATCTGACTTGGCGTTGGATCAGCTACATCGAGCTGATCTGGACGGGGCTTCTGTTTCCGGTCTTTCTCCTGGCTTTCCCCGAAACTCGACCATCGGCCATTCAGGAAAAGCGAGCGCGAAAGCTTGGTCACGGCACTGGCGACACGGCGGCCAAGCAGACCACTGCATCCCCCACCCAGAAGACCAAGATCCTCACGCGATTGGGCGAGAGCATCAAACGACCGGTTACGATGCTTTTCACCGAGTCCGTCGTCTTTGTCGCCACCCTTTGGTCCGCATTCGGTCTAGGAACCATCTACATCTTCACCCAGTCGGCGGAACAAGTGTTCAACGGGCTCTACGGCTGGAACGCAACGCAAGCCGGCTACGTGCAGGTGGCGATTGTGGTCGGGGAACTGTGCGGCTTCGTCCTCTGCCTGATCTGCAACCGGTGGTATTTCGCCTCGGCCTCACGCAACCACGAGGTCCCCGGCAAGCCCATCCCCGAGGCACGGCTTTACGCAGCGCTCGTGGGAGGTCTGCTCGGCAACACGGGGGGCATGCTCATCTACGCTTGGACCGCCTATCCGTCGATTCCCTTCATTGCCCCCACTATCGGACTCGCAATGGTGGGAATGGGCAGCAATGCCATCGTCATCAGTATTGTAACCTACCTACTGGACGCCTATGCGCATCTGGCCGGCAGTGCGATTGCCGCCGTGGGACTGGGCGAGAATCTGTTTCTGGCCTTCCTTCCCTTAGCCACTCAGAGCATGTATAACACTCTAGGCTACCACTGGGCGAGTTTCCTCCTGGGCATGATCTCCTTTGTGTTGGCTCTCGTCCCCCTGATCATGTTCCGGTGGGGGCCTGACATCCGGGGCCGAAGTCCACTTCTGCAGGCGGCCCGCGACATGACAGCGGCGGAGACGTCCAAAGAAGGGGGGAGGGGGCAATGACGGCGGAATCCCACGCATAGATCCCTCTTCAGCAGATTGAGACTATCGAGGCTCCTATTGACAGGCTGATGTACGCTCGATCTATCATGGAATCTGACTATCTAGAAATTTGACTTTTCAATCTAGGTTATAGGCAGGGTTGAGAATAGTAACGCTCACTGACTGTAACATGGGAAATAAGTGATGCAGTTCTGAGCAGCTATTATACAAAATAAATAGAAAAGAGAAAACTTTCTGCTGTAGTTTCAGGCGGTGATTCCTGCCCGCAAATCTCGAAGCCCTCCACTACCAAGCGTCATTTCGAATAAATGATGGTCCAAGATTGCTGCGTAATGTTTGATCATCATGATACACGCGACAAAGGTGAAAAGGTGATGGATTCTGCTACGTGCGGCTATCTGCTGAACTAGCAAAGAACAACTGCATAAAGTGGCGCTGGGCAGATTAATCTCATTGACTCTCAAATACAGTGCTCGAAAGCTTCATCGTGACTGGAGAGTCCTAACGTTTCCCGCAGCTTGGAGGGTTTATTATGAATTGCATCTGTAGAGGAACTAGCACCCTGGACACCATTACAGCCTGGAAAATTCCTCTCTGTCTACTCTTCATTGTTCCTACCGTTGTTGCGTCGCTCATCTGGTTTACCTCAGAAGTACGTCAACTTCGCTATGCCATTTTCTCCACTATTACTTGATAGTAGCGCTAATGAGGAACGGTTGTAGTCACCTCGAAGGCTTTTGACTAAGGACCGTGTTGATGAGGCCTGGAAGTCTCTCCGCAAGCTTCGTCTGGAGCCTCCACAGTAGAGAAAATCACACAAGAGTTCGCCACCTTCCAGCAAGCCTTGCCATCGAGCCAAAGCAAGGTCGGTACCGAGAGATCTTACACGGGATCAATCTCAAGCGTACTGCTATCATTGTGGCGCTGAACTACTTCCAATAAGCTGCGGGTCAAGCAACCGTGTCCTTGTATGAAGCTGTGTTTATCAGCAGCATTGGCTCGGTCAACCCCTTCAGCATGATGGTCATCAAAGCTGCCAGCAACATCGTTATTTGCGGCATCTCCCTGGTTCTGAACAAAAAGAGTAAAAGATGGTACTTTAGTCTCTGGTAACTCGGTGGAGTGTGGCTCATTTTGCCCCATTTGTACCCACCCATTGCTTTTGGACAGTCGTTGACTGACTATTCATCCTCAGAGTCCTTCTGTTGACCGGGGCTCTTTGGCAACCTGCGCTTGTTTGCACGATGGAGACCTCGACAGTAACCGCGAACAAGAAGGCTGATGTCGCGATGCTCCCCCTATTTACCGCCGATTATTGTCTTGGCTGGGGCCTCGTCAACTGGGTGGTGACGACCTCAGCGCTTGGCCTCCGCGATGCATCCCCAATAACCACGTCCGTCATGAACATGATTACAGCGTAAGTATCCAGACTTGTGCATGATCTAGTTCACGTCTCTTGCTACCAGCCCGGGTGAGTCGGGACTGCGCAACCTCCAGTGGTCTGACTATATTTGGAGCAGGTTCGTTGTCAATTTCACGATCCCCTACATAGCCCATGAGCCCCCCGATACAGATGGCCAGTTCATCTTCGGCGGCATTTCCCTCCTCTCTTTCGTCTTTGCCTACGTCTTCGTTCCTGGAGGTGAAGGTAAGACTTTGGAGCAGCTGGACATTTTATCAAACGAAGGCGTGCCCATTCGACGTTTCGGGAATTGTACATGCGAAGAAGCTGTAGAGGTCCAAGACGTCGTCAATTGACCTTTGGTGAAGAAGGACTCGAGCATCGCATGATCTCGACAACGAAGAAATCCAGTAATTTGAAATATGCTAGCGCTTTGGAGCACGACCATAATTGTTGAAGTAATCAAGTGTTTCTGTGTCCTTGCTTTAACCTTCTGTTTTCTTATTCTCCCATTTCTTTTAGCCGGACAAGCTTTCTCTAATTTCGATGATAAACTCTATATGGCTCCGCTCCGGTGAAAGTTCGATGGGCTTTTTCTCTCCCTCAAGCTAAGACCTCTCTCTCGGACATGTATTTTGTTTGAGTCTTTCTCATTGCCCATAGCTTTGGTGGTGATAATGATCATGATAAAATAATCAGCGTCTTTATCAGTGTAAGGGAAAGGTAGGTCAGTCAGGTACAGAATAACCGCAGTTCACTATTTCAAATCTAATCCTGCCCTTCGAGATGGCAAGGTTCTAATAATTAAGTACTAGGGGGCCTCAAGTCACTGACGTCACGACCACTGCCTCAAGGATACATGGGTGAGCCATTGGCAAGCCGACAAAGTCACGGAGATTTTCCACGCCATTTTTGATAGCATAATAGATCTTATGTGAATGTTAAGATTTTCTGTAATTATCAGTAGCGACTATGTATATACTTGTCTTAGTACAAAATACTTAGCAGAGTCTATTAGAGTCATAAAAATTCCATTTGTATTTTATTTGAATACCCAATAATTTATAGATTGTTTTGTAGTCTGCAAAGAAAGTCCTTAGATTCTTTTATTAGATCATTGTAATATATCAGCAGATATAATCATATATTAAATTGCTGGGTCTAGATTCCCTTACAAGACTTAGCATTTGATTGGACAATCGCTGTATACTCTGTCACGTTGAGATTTCACCTCTTACGGTTTGCTCCGAGACACAGACACATATGGTGAGGGCGAGTTGCTGGCTCCGCGTCAAGCCACAGCTATCACAGACCACGTCCATTGAGAATGGTAGTGGTAGTGGTAGCGATGCAAATCCAGGAACTACCAGTTTTTTTAGTAGACTTTAATACAGTAAAATTGGTCTGAAAAATCTACTAGACTACTTCTATTTTGTATATGATCTTTTCTCCTCAAATAGGTGACATATATTCCGACGAGTTATCAGGAACTTCAAAAGTTTTCAGATCTTAGGTTTCCCTTACTAACTCATGCACTCTTCCTCTTCCTCTCAGTGACCAAGTATTCGGCGTTGTACAACTGAGAAAATATCATCAGTGGCTTATTATAACTTCAAAACTCGGTATCCGCTTAATTTACACAAACAACAACACCACCAATTCTATATTGACACCTAAGTTTCTTGCGGCGCTCCTCGCTTATAATTGAGTACCAGAGTTCAAGTAGTGAGTGAACCAGGAATAAAGTAGCTACTTTGGTAGCCCTTTTCTTACGGATCCGACCAGGAACAGCGTATCAATCAAAATATTTCGGGGTTTTCTACAAGCCTGAATCAAACAAGACAAATCAACTAGGCCAAATTAAATCATCGAAGTAGAAATACGGATTTGTTAGGCTCAGAGATACCGGCAGATATCCTTGTAGAAGACCTGAATAATCTGGTCAATGATCAGACTTGGTAGCTCTGGAACAATACCGACACCAAGGCTTGTGCACATGACAGCACATCCAATTCCTCAGCATGGGTAAGTCAATTGTCATAGGAATTATAAAGAGGGTCATGAGGTATTAGATTCTATTTTGCTTATCAGAGTATTCGGATTGAGATTGAACAATTCTGTTATTCCTGAAGGATATGCATGTGGTTGCTTTTTGAAGAAAGCATTTGGCGGAATTTCCACTACAGTATAGGCTGCATATGAGCTTGGATACTCTGATATTAGTTTGAATGCCCAAGCGAGGCAGCTGGGCTACGATGAAGAATAAATAGTAGATGGTGGTATGCTCCTGCTAATGCTGGACATCGCCATCTTGCTATTTTTAAACGGTGGCGGGTTCAACCGTCGTATCCTGTCGAGTTTCCCCTGTAATAAAAATCAGCATTTATTTCCGAGTGCCTTTTTCCGGGACGAAGATTAAGGAAAGGACTGCTAAACAGTCAAGATGTGATATACGACTATTCAGGAGATGCCTTTCACCAGACGCTTCCTTGTAATTCACAAATAAGCAGATTCCTGCAAAGCTTATGGCAAGGTGTTTTCATTCGTCTTTGTTGATTATTTCATAGAAGTGGATATCAAGGAATATGTATACTACCTACAGTTATAGAAGTGAGATATTGAAATTCATGACTTTCATGAGAGAAAACAGATCACGGTCATCGCTGACTTGCAATTCTGCCAGTCCTGGAGATTCACCTTGCCGGTCCCAGCATGACTGTAAAAAGGCCATCGAGGACCGGATATTTCCAAACCCAAACATTTGGTACATATGAGCGAGACGTGTGTAGATCAAGGCTTGATGGGACTGATTCCTGGCCAAGACACCAAAGAATATTATTGGCCAGATGGAGGTTGTAGAAACAGGTGCTTCGAGGGGAAGTAAGTTCAAAAGGTCCAAAAAATTGTTTATTCGGGTGGCATCCACAATATCACGATGTCGAACGTCGACGGATGGTGATGTTCTCTCGACAAGGCAGAGGAACGCTTCCCGGTACATAAAGCCGCTTAGGGCAAATTCTGGTAAGGTTCCTTCTGGCGGCTGCCACGAAGACAGATATGTGTGTAGTTGAATATTTTGCTGGTGGTAAGATCCGTCTGCTTCGTGATTTGGTGTAGTATATTGGTAATAATGCCCCCGAGTTGCCAGGGCTTCGATGTGCGGAACCATATTAAACAGCTCGTACGAGCAGCCAAGAAGATTACCCGGCCCATGCTGACTCACGAATATCGTGTTTGCCGATTCAGAAAAAGTTGAGATAAAAAAGGTGGATGAGGACAGAGTTCCAGTCAAAGCCGTAATATTCTTAACATAGACATAGAATTCCTTTATGAAGTCCAATAACTTCGGATTATCTTGGTCTTGCTCCGGTGAGGTTATAAGTGTGTTGAATAGAACGTTCGCTGCCTTTAAATGATGAACAACATCACCACTTTGATCGACTCTGACTGTCTTCGATTTGAGTCAGTGGTAAAGTGGTAAGCATGGACGCTGTGTAGAATTTACCTCAAGAAAGCAGAGAATTAGCGTGGTAACTAACAGTTGAAGATTATCACTTCTAAATTGAGAACTTGCAAACGCCGTTAAGCCATGTTTTAATGAACGGAGAGCGAGTCCTAGATGAGTAAAGGTCATAACATCAACATCAACGCTTGAAGCACGGCAGCGGTAGTGCATTCCGCTCAGGGCAAGCAGACTCTGTAATACTGTGTTCGGATAAGAAATTGCAAAACAAGGAAGTAGCTGGATAAAAGAGTTTAGTGGCCCTCGATGAGCAGATATCGCATTCCCTGTCTCCTGCAAGTAATGCTTGAAGAGTAGAGAGGATATCGGTCCCTTCAGAACACAGCTCGCAACGCCAAGACCGGTAGGTGTCTTCTGAATTGACGGGTTCCGGAATGTACAAGCTGAAGCTTCAGTTTCAGCGGGCGATTGCTCGTCCGTGGTCCCTGGCAACGCCCATCTGCAGAGCAGAGCATTTCGCTCACAGCCCTTACATCTCGGTCTCCTTAGATCACAACGTTTTCGCCGTCGCCGACAGGCGAAGCAGCCATCGTGAGTGCGTCTCCGTTTGTCTAACATGTCTCCGTGACGGGTTTCTGTGTGTCCTGTGGGATCACGCATGGGACCTGGGATGAAAGAGCCAGATTCCAGTGAGAAAGCTGTGGCAAAGGGCGAGTGGTTTTTGAGATAGTTGGAGAGTTTCCGCCGGGTATTTATTAAACTAGCCTTGTATGGCAAATGAGCAGGGACAGGCGCTTATCTGGTATTACTGGCACATAAGAAGCAAGCGTATCAGAATTTCAATGAGGGTATCATCGTCGGCATCATCGATATATCAGGCTGGCTACAAAATCAGCAGGGTCGGTAGTAATGAGTTCAACCGGGACTACATTACTAATTGTTTTTATCTGCGCGGCTTATCTTCGCTTGCAGGGATTGGCCAGATGACGACTTGATAAACGCGCTTATGAGTGGGTCAACTCCTTTTCCGCCATTGGCTACCGGGCATGACAGGTGATATCGAGGACTTGAAATAGTAACGACAAATACAGTAGTTCCTTGTTGTCATTCCTGCCGAGAGACCTCAGAATTTTTGTCTAGAAGGGACATAATTACCATCAGGAAAATGTGGGGATGGGGTCAGCAGGAAGGGTCGCTTGGTGTTCTGGATCAGTGAGGGGAATTTGTTATCATGCTATGAAGAGTCTCACTGGGCGATGATTTCATTCATGGTAAATTGCACCCCAAACTTGAATGATCTCAGGCATGAAAATAAGGTCATGTGCGTACACAAAGACCTCCCATCCATTAAAAGAGGTCTCCTTCTATATCTTCTCCAGGATCCAGAAGTAACACGCGGGGATCTTTGAGATCAACCCATCCTCCAAAGGGGCTCGATAAACTATATCCAATCATCTTCTGCATGTCCACTGAATATCTCTTTACACTTTCAAGCGAATTGGCGAGGTATTGATTCTCCTCCTGTGAGCTATGTCAGCACCGCCCAATCTTCTGGGGTTTTGAATGAGGTACCTGTCGTAGGAAGCCTTTGGTCATGAAGCAGGAGTAGACAAGTCGCTCCTGATCAACGGTAGTGTTTGCACTGCCTCCGTGGAAGCAGCTGGCGAGCATAAGAAACCCATCGCCCGGTTTGAGTTCAGCATAGTAGGCCAGGTCTTCGTTTGGCGGGGTAGTTTTCGCCCACAGATGGCTTCGGGGAATGAATCTTGTAGCTCCATTGGCTCTGGTCGTCTCTTTGCCCGCCACAAAGAACCCAATATTAGTATCCCGACCGATTTTGTAGTCTGCGTGCGATGCAAGCTCAGTCAACTCATTGTGAAACATCATATCGTCACGGTGGAGTTCTTGGCGTCTTGCCCCAGGACCAATACTAAAGACAATAGTATTATTCAGCTGTGGGTGCGAAACGCTTGTCTCAAGCTTCTGGCCCAGCCAGCTTTTGTGGGTGGATGTCAGAAGAATATCGCACACATCCCGATACAGACGATTTCCAGGGATTAGCTCAGTGAAAAGCTTCGATTTTTCGACCAAGCCCATAACGCGACGAGTCTCGGGGGGAAAGAATTCGCCTACCCAGGGGCGGTCTTTTTCGATCCAAGGTCGAACATCTTTCTCAATGAGAGCCAGCTGTTCAAAGTTCAGAATTCCACGCACCACACACCCTCCATTCTTGATCAGTGACGCGACAACCTCGGCGGCGGTGACAGTACTGGCGTGGAAGGCATCAATAACAGCAGCCTTGGAGTCCGCAGCAAGATGCTCCGGAAAGCCCTTGGCTGGGCGATTGGGAGGAGGCACAAGGATTTGGGCTGGAGGCATGGCAGCTGTATAGAATGAAGTTTTAAGCAGGCTTGGGAAAAGTCTCGCAGATGAGTAGCGCTGAAAGCATGCATCCTGTTGCTTAATATATAAGTACGGAAGACAAACTCAGAGCTATCCATGACGTCTCGTTTTGAGTCGAGAAAGCAAGGGAGATAAACGCGCTAATTTTAGCTTTGACCGATGTACAAACTATCTCCTCATGTCAGCATGAGATTTGCGGAAGTGGAGACGTTAGAGATAAACGCGCTAAACTTTTTCTTCATTTGATAGCATTATTACACGAGACATAAATCCCGACAGGTTTATCTTCGACCAAAGATAATATTTGATTTTCGTGTCCTCTTTTACAATTACAATTAGAATGATAGAAAACATAATTCCGGATAATGGGACTTAGCCAGGAGATAGGATGTAGATCTAGCTTGCAACACGATAGGAAGTTGAGATAAGAAGCTGAGCTTGCTTGGCCAATGGAAAGAGCTCAAACTAGAGCAGTAAAATGATACAAGAAACCCTCATGCATCATCCAGACCAGATATTTCAGCTCTGATAATAAGCACAATGAACACGAAAGTCACCCAGAAAATAGCACATGCAGCGCTCGCTGAAGGAGACAACGTGGTTGATCCTGGAGAGTTACTGGATATCCCCAATGTGCACTTCTTCGGGGCTGAATACGAACCTGAGCTACACCGCAATCGATCTCTTCGGACCTTACTGTTTCAGTCGTTGGCCATATCCGCTGTAAATATCCAGGCCTTGGAATCTCAGCGGCCCGTATTTTCTAACAAAAGACAATCAGATTCCGGTTGGATTCGGCTCGCCATTGATCAGTGCTATTTATGGTGGAGGTAATTCGTGCCGATATTCATATCTTAAAAAATGAGCTGACCTTGAATGATCCTGCAGGTCAGCTTCCGATGTTTCTGGGATGGGTCGTGGTGGCCCTTGGTCAGCAATGCGTTGCTATTTCGCTTGCTGAGCTTATTTCGCGATTCCCAGTTTCTGGAGGCCCCTACTTCTGGTCTTTCCAGCTGGCGAGCCTCAAGAGAAGAAAGGCAGTGGCATTTTCCACTGGGTGGATATGGCTCACTGGTAACTGGACCATCACTCTGGCAGTCAACTTCGGATTTGCACAATTAGTCTCCGCGGCCGGCAGTCTTTACAGATCGGGCTTTCTTAGTGAGCCCTGGCAGCTACTCTTAGTCTTCTACGGCATCTGTCTCACAACCTTTCTCGTGTGCTCATTCGGAAACCGCTACTTGCCAATAATTGATACTATCTGTGCGGTCTTTACTGTCGTCGCTATCTTGGTCACACTTATATGCCTGTCAATAAAAGCTAAAGCTGGAAGACATTCAGTCGCCGACACCTTGGTAAGATGCTGCGATTTGTCGGCGGAATTTAATATGCTTACCGCGATGAAAGGGGCACTATGACAGCACTTTGAGCGGCTGGGGAGACTTTTCCTTCTGGATCGGGACTCTTCCGTCAGCTTACGCGTAAGGCACATGCGCAGATGCTGTAAAACTTCAAAGAAGACCCTCGCTAACTAAGGAATAGGCTTTGTACAACAGGAATGATCTCCTCTATGGCTGAGGAGTGTGATGATCCCCAAGTCAAATTGCCCAGAGCTTTGTGTCTGTCAATACCTGTCGGGGGCCTTGCTGGTCTCTTCTACGTGGGCCGCTTCTCAATCTTATGCATGGCTTGAACAGCTGCTGATGCCTTGCCACAGATACTCCCAATCTGTGCGACCTTGCCACCTTTGAACGATATAATTGCCGGTGGCGATGGTCAAGCTCTCCCATATATCTTCGGTGTTGTTATGGGTTCTGCAGGAGGTGGACTGGCCCTGACAACATTTCTACTCTGCATCTGTTGCTTCTGCAGTGTCAGTATCACTGTCGCTGCGAGTCGATGTACTTGGGCTTTTGCACGAGACCAAGGAATCCCACTTTCAAGATTATGGGCAAAGGTCGACAAAAGGCTTGATGCACCAGTCTTCGCCATCGCGCTCACCACCTTCGTCGAGATGCTCTTGGGACTCATTAATTTAGGTAACTCCTCGGCCTTTTTGTCATTTGTATCTGTCGGAGTTATTTCCCTGGCAGTGTCTTATGCGATTCCAATTGCATTGTCTCTTTACTACAAGCGATCCGAGGTCAACGCCGCTCCTTGGACATGTCGAAAGCACTGTGGAACATTGATCAATATTATTGCTCTCGCTTGGATCGCTTTCCAGGTGGTACTCTTCAGTATGCCGACAGTGTTGCCTGCGTCCGCTGGAAGCATGAACTACGCAATCGTGGTGTTCGCTGGTCTCACGGCTGCAAGTACATTTTACTATAGCTTCTATGCCAGGAAACGTAAGGTTTGCCACCCGTCATCGCGACTCTTACATGCCAACTTATCTCTACAGACTATACCGGCCCTCAGGTATTGCCTGCCTGCACTTAAGGCGAGCAAAGACTTGGCGTGCAACTCGCCACTTGTTGACGTACCATGCTCTTATTCACAGGGAGAAATGGGGTCGGTTACAAATCTTCAACGGGTCGAGTCCTGAACCGACATGCTTCATGGCGGGCCTCCGGTCAAAAAGCTGCCTCGACAAGTTGCGATAGTATAAATACCCTCAAAAGTCATAACGAGGTCGATGCGGGTTGGGTGAATTATGGCGAGAGAGTGGCCGCGTTTCGACAAAAAGGTAGATTCCCTGCATAACAATGGAATAAATGAGTCAGGACGGAAGTTCTTCGTTGCGTGAGGATGTACATCTCACAATTGGGTTGGCGGCGGTTCTGTGCTCCTCTATACCCAATCTTGCTCACACGTGCTTTTGCCGCGTTACCTACAACATAAATCGGTTCGGGAGGGGAATGGGGCATGTGATGCAGACTATATGTCGATTATAGACGCAATACTGACGATGTAATACATAGGTGCCCACTCGCTTACCGATTACGTTAAAGGAGCAGTTACGTGCTGTTTTTATAAGAGCAGCGGCATCTGTATAAGGCAAGCGGACGGGACTCGCAGCAAAATATTCCAGTAATATGACTATTGACATGTACCGAGTGTCAAACTCTGCTCCAAAAACGTTAATGCTATATACCCCGCAACTACGCCGTAATCACCGGGACTTCACGAATCATACAGATAAGCAGCAATCACCCCGCCCCATCCCCCAGCATTCTCGCTCTGCCGCGCAATAACCGTGCCCCCCTCCACGACCATATTCGTCGTGCTCTTTGTATTCGTCCCGTAGAGATAGATCGCCGACGAACTCTCCACCTTCACCGCCGTCTGCTGACAGTCGCCCTTGGGACAGTCGCCGTTATCATTGAAGAAGACCCAGTTGCACCCGCCGTACAGGAACAGGTCAGACGACCCGCTGATGCGCTCGAACAGCGCCATCCGGCAGAGCGCGTCGTCGGCCGCGCACTCCGCGAAGTCCGGGTCGCTGCTCGTCAGGTGCTCGTCCCAGGGGGCCGGGGCCAGGGTGCTCCCGACCCCCTGCCAGTAGGGGGACTCGCTCTGCTGCAGGGCCGAGAAGACGTTGCGCGCGTGGTGGAAATTGTACTGGTACAGGGTGTTGTGCTCCATGCCGGTGCCGATCATCCAGGTCGCCGCCGTCGCCTCCACCAGCATTCCCCGCCCCGTCGAGATCGTCTGCGCGTTCTCCCCGTCCAGGTCGTGGTCCGCCGTCCACCCCCACATGTTCTCGATGTACGCCGACGCGGTGCTCGTCAGGTGGACCAGCCCGTACGCCGCCTTGCAGCTCTCCGCGCCGCCTGTGCACTGGCTCTCCACGAGGCTGCCCACCGCCCCACCGATCCGGAAGTGCGTGTTCCAGAATCCCACGTCGCCAGGGTTCGTGCCGGCGATGTTGACTTCGAGCTGTTCCTTCGTTAGGGTCTTTCTTGTTTGGATGTAGTACAACGGGGTGAAGGATGGAGACTGACCAATTGACAACCAGGCAGGATATCTGCAACAGTCAGAACCATATCGCTGATCTGAGCCACGCCCGTGTCCCCAGGGTATCCGACCCGGATCATCGATCGCGGGGAAGCCTCGTTCTCGAAGTTGTCGCCCACCGCGCTGATGATCGAGGCGAAGGAATCGCCAATGATGCGACTGCCGCTGGGGACAAAGATGGTGTCGGTCACGATGTAGGTGCCCGCGGGGAAGTAGATGAGCTTGCAGTCCTTGTTGCTCGAGAGGATGGCGTTGATGTTGCGCGTGTCATCCGTCTCCCCGTCGCCGTACACCGGCTTTCCGGCGACGTTCTTGATGTTCAGGACCTGGTTGGCCGTATACTCTTGATACGTCGGGGGTGCCTTGGTGAAGTACTTGTTCCCGGATAATAGTGCGGAGGCACGGGGAGTCTTGACGAGCTGTCCGTTGGTGCTTTGCATTTGGTTCGAGCCGGAGGTATACTGTTCGTACGGGGGTTAGTCGGTTGCTAGAGTGGTGGTGGAAGCAGGAATACCTACCATGTGTCCATGTACCCAGATGTCCGAAACGCCCCCGCTCAGCACAATCGTGTCGCCGATCTTCACCGTGTTGCCGTAGTTGCTGATGTTCTCTAGGATGATCGAGTTTCCAGCCGTGTCGGACGTGCCGGACGTGATGAAGGTCCCCACGCTCGTCGCGCTGGTATCGATCACAGTCAACGACCCAGATGTCCCGTGCGCGTCAATCCCGGTCTGACATTGCTCGAAGCGGCAACCCATGAATGTGATGTCGGTGCCGCCCGCGACGACGCCGGTGGTGGTCCCGAGGAAACTGAGGTTCTTGAACACCCACTGCTGGCCGTTGAGCTTCATCCCCACCGCGCCGCCTTTGAACCACAGATCGTTCTGCCAATGTCAGATTCTTATTGTCATAACCCAGAAGGTATTTGGGGAACGTACCATGATCAGGTTGCTGTTGTAATCATACTGCGTCGTCAACCCCACATGTGTCGCAGAACCAGTGGGCATGTTAAATCCCACATTCGTCAACTGCGTCGCCTGGCTGACGGTCCAGTCGAGCAGGGCGATATTCTTACTGTATCCCACACCCGTCGAGTCCAGAACCACATTCTTCATGCCGATGTAGAAGTTAATGGTGCCCCCGAAATTCGGGTCCTTGGCGTAGATAATGTGGTCATCCGGGAAGTTGGCGGCGGCCTTCAACACGGGCGGGTTGGTCGGGTCCCCGATCAGAACCGTTCCCACGAACAGCTGCAGAGAGCTCTCAAGGAGGTAAGTCCCGCCGGGAAGATAGACGATGGCCGGCTGGCCGGTCGTGCCCATCGAGTGGGAGGCGCGATCGGGTCCGTTGGAGGGTCCGGCTATATACAGCGAGAAACCGACTGTCAGCTTCCGGTCTCAAACTCTCCAAGAATTAGGGCTTCCCCCGTACCGTGAATGGCGGCCTGAATCGCCAGCGCCGCGTCCCGGCTGCCCGTATTATCGGCGCCGTAATCTTCGACCACGTTCCGGAAGACCTTGTACGCCTCCTTGTGCCCGGAGTCGAGGAAGGACGATTGGCCGTTGTGCTCGATGTTCTCGTACCAGTATCCGCCGGAGTTGCTCGCGCTGGCGCAGAGGGAGGGCGAGGCCGTTGCGATGGTCTGGTGTACCGGAGGCCCGTTGAGGCTCACCCATGGCTGCGCGGTGCGGTTTTGGATCACGAAGGGGATGCCACTGTCGCTGTCAGTGGGTACTTCCTTCGAGTATTGTTTCCGGATGGGACTCACGTCGGATCAGGGATGTAGCTTCGTTGGGGGATGGATACCGCGCTTGAGGTCGGATAAGGCGCAAGCTTCTGAGCGGAGCCCGAGTTCCTCATCCGCGGCATCGAGGTGTTGCGCCATCCATCTTGCGGTCTCGCGAGCACCAGTGAAAAGAGTGATAGCCACGATATGCAAAGCAGGGCGAATGTCGAGTTTGCCATCATAACGACACGCGTGGGTTGAAGCGAATGCAATTATACAAGCATCAAAGAAAAAGACCGAGAAGAAAAGAAGGGACCGATCAGGGGAAAACAAAGAGTGAAAGTTCCCCTTGAGTCGGAAATACAAACCTCGATACCTGTTGCTTCGAGAAAAGGCCTAGTCGGACATTGGGATTTCGCCCAGGGATGGCGTATCACACGGTCGGAAAGTGTCAGGGGCGGGGGGGGCGCGCAACGAGTGGAAGCATGATTCTGGGAGCCTCCTCTATTTATGTGGACAGTTATTAGTGCATACCTGGACTGAGTCCAGACAAGGATTGTCCAGGTTTGGGAGGAATCCCGCGCGGCGGAGACTTGCATACTGGCATGCCTTAGGGCAAAGGTTAGAGTAAGGAAGTCAAGCCCATAGTTAAGGTTAGGGCCATCCATCTATTTGTTGATCTTCCGCAGAAAGGGCGGTCGATCAGGGGTTTGACAACAACCACTTGAACTCTACTTGACCAGTCCACTCCTGAGCCCCCAACAAACCTGTATCTGTGTGTCTATCTTGCTGTGATCTCATCTACATTTTGAAAAAAAGTCATCCTGCTCATCCAGACCATTTTCTCAATCATCGAATCTCTTCTGCCTGGAGGCATTATCCCTTGTCACCACCCCCGCGCCGCCACCGCTGCCAAACCATGCAGAAAACCCAGTTTCGAGACCCTCGTGATAGCAGCCACAACCCTCAAATCGGGAAATACCAACCTTGAATCGGTCCATCCTCAGACCCAAGTGTCGTAGGTATCATCGATGGCGCTTAACCCCAGAAAAACAATTGTCCGAGCGATGCAGCTCTGACGTCTTTGGCGACAGCGAGCTTGCATTCCGCAAGGCACATACCAACCAAGGTTGAGAGCAAGGGATTGCCCGCGCAGGAACCGGCCAACAAGTGCGTGGCACGTTGTAGGGCAGTTTTTCTTCCATGTTGCGATCAGGACCCTGTGTTTCTTGCTCTGCAATAGCTTGCAGGCTTTTGATGGCTTTAGGCAACAGTAACGAAACCACTGACCTCAGCGGGCCCTGAGTGCTAAGATGGCAGTATTGTGCTATCCTAACACAGTATCTTAATTCTTTTACTATTTCTTGTAGACAGACACACTACTTGCGTCATATAACTTCCAAGGCGTAAGTTTCTACATCGCCCATTCAACTTATGATTCCCTCCCCCCCTCTGGCGCCCGCCTTGGAAACAATCTACAATCCCGCCTCGCCCACGCGTATCGGTAAACCTCAAGGACTTACTTTCCGCAAGATGAAGTCGGTTTGGAAAGCATGAGAAAGATGAGAGTCAGGGTTCAGGCGGTTGAGTATGGTAGTGGTAATGCTCGCGTCTCGCAAAGAGATGCCGCTGTAAAACAAGGAAGATGTTCAGTACCTCAGGTATGAATCCCGCAATTGTTAATGACTCAGATGTTGATGTACGGATCATGTTTAGCATACTGACAGGATATGAGTATACGTATACCGTGGTAGATATGTAATTTTGATATCTGCTGTAAGGTTCTTTGGAATTCGATAGATAAGGGACGTTGGGGGTCCTCGGGTCGTTGTTACCCGGTAGACGATGGAGATTGAATGCGACAGCATGGTTGGGATGGGTTTTTCTATCGCACCGCAATACTAGACATCATCAGATTGCTTCTGAGGGAAGGTAATGATTGAAAGAGGGATAATCTGGATGTTCGCCGTTCGTAAAGCGAGCTTCCTTTCGGTTCTCTTTAATCCTCTGCTCTATATTTACTCAACGTCGCTGACAGTTCCTCGGTCGGCCCGCCAGGTATCCTGTTGCAGCTATGTAGACCAGATGTGCAAAAACAGTGGATAACCAGCGGTGAAAATCTCGTCAGAGACGTCATGGCTTACAGATTCTAAGATCATTGCTAACAATAACATAACTTATAGTACAAGATCGAAGAGTCTCGTGTTGGTAGTTGGTCGGTCGCTCTCCTGCAACCACCGAGCCAGCGTTTTCTTATTCGGGTAAGGTGGGCGCGGGCGGGCCGTGGGCACCGCGGGAACGAGAGCACACTAGCCCCGAAATGGAATGCGCTGAGACCGGGCCCCCGGTCCCCAGTCTATGGTTTAGATTGGAGATTCGTGAAGAATATCTGGCCAGGGCTGCGGATTACAAACACGAGATTGATGACGAGATTTGGATTTGTCCATGACGCTCTCAACGAATTATAAATATGTCTTGAGTGTCGCCTTTCACTTTTACTTCACCGATTCTTATCTGCCGTTGTCATTACAGATCTATATCGAGTCTTGTTCGCTCAAATAATAATCGATTGATTGTACCCCGTTCTCAAGCAGAGTTCTCATTGCATACTGCATCTAAAAAAGTCTACAATCCCACACACCTCCAGCAGAATGAAGGCGATCCTTATCGAGAAGTTCGGAGGCCCAGACGCCCTGGTGATCAAGGAGATCCCCCGACCCGAACCCAAGACCAGGGAAGTCGTCATCAAAGTCAAAGCCTTCGGCATCAACCACGCGGAAATGCACATGCTCAGAGGGGAGTGGGCCGAGTGGATGCCCGTGAGCGGGATCGAATGCGTTGGCACAGTCGTGGACTGTCCCGGGGGCGAGTTCGCAGAAGGGACCGCCGTGGCCAGTCTGATGGGCGGACTCGGGCGCACCATCAACGGCAGCTATGCTGAGTACACCCGCGTACGGGCTTCCAACGTTGTCGAGCTCGGCTCAGGGGCATCGACGCTGGGGTGGCATCAGCTGGCTGCGATCCCGGAATCCTACGCCACAGCCTGGACGTGTCTGTTCCGGAATCTCGACCTGAGGAGCGGGCAGACGCTGCTGATCCGCGGCGCGACCTCGGCTTTCGGACAGGCAGCATTGAATCTGGCCGTGGAAACGGGTGCACGTGTGGTCGCGACAAGTCGCCAGGAGAGTCGCTTCGCGCGCTTGAAGGCGCTGGGCGCCGAGCGTGCAGTGGTCGAAGGGCCCGATTTGTCGGAGCGGTTGCCAGAAAGATTCGACGCCGTCTTGGACTTGGTTGGCAACAGCACGATTGTGGATTCGCTGAAAATGGTGCGCCGGGACGGAAGGGTGTGTCTGGCTGGGTTTCTGGGGGGTCTAACTCCGATTCAAGACTTCAACCCGCTCCTGCAGATGGCCAGCGGTGTACATTTCAGCTTCTTTGGAAGCTTCGTATTCGGAAGCCCTGAGTTTCCATTATCTGATGTCCCCCTCCAGTCCATCGTGAAGATGGTTGCCGATCGAAAATTCACAGCAGAGCCGTCGCGTGTGTTCCAATTCGACGAGATCAGGGAGGCGCATCGAATGATGGAAGCCAACGAAGCTAATGGAAAGATGGTTGTGATTGTTGACAACTGAAGTTGTCTTGGTCACGGAAAGAATAGCTGGTTCTCCAGCGCATCCAGTGAACAAAACAAAGCGTCGGGAATCCGGAGGAACTGTCCAATAAGATCTTGATAGTCAGTAAATTTAGCCACTCCCATGAATACAATCATTTTCCCAAGCAAGCCTACAAACGAGCCTTGCAATTCTTCACTTAGACATGAAGCACAAGACCCGACTGTCAATGCCCAGACAAGGTAGATCTGATGACTCGTCGAGAGCAGAGAGAGCTCCATATCACGCAAGAGTAAATGTAACTTAGATCCATATAACAGGCCAGGGATGGTGTCTAAACCAAACCTCCCACGAAGCTCTGTCAGATACACGACCGTAGCTAGCCGGAAGCATTCCATCACACGCGACTCTATGGTATCGTGGACTATGGCACGTGGGTGAGACAGCAGAATGTGTAGAATCGGTGAGATGTGAAAACCGGGAAATAGAACGTCAGAGCAGAGATCCCGTTTCAATAACTCGGACAGCATGATCATATGCAACTCGGCAAGGCTCTGACGAATATATGAGACAAAGACGTGGCGGTTCGTTCCGCCCTCAAGCAATAAGTTGAACCGATACGAGGCCATGGTGAGCTTACTGCGACCGGCCAGGATCGCTAGAGGTTGTTGGTATCGAGGCACACTGTCTTGGATATATGCGCCATTGACATCCACCCTGCACATACATTAGTCAAGGAAACAGCTGCAGAGCGGTATGTGCTCACCAATACAGCATGGTCCTCAGCAGCGGGTTAGAGTCGAGAGACTGGGCGCCACCTCTGCAGTCAAGGATACGGGATATACCATCCATGTGAACGTTCAAAAGCTTTGGATCCCGCGTCATGTTCTTGATGGGGCAAGTTAGCCAATTGAGCATTGGTCGAGGGTGACTGCAGTATCTCACAGCATAACAACAGAAGGCCAGCACAGCAACGACCACCTCGTCGGAAACAAAAGTCGCGGGGTCTCCTAGACGCTGCTGCAGGAGAGTTGTCGCATGAACGGTGTATCTGTAGTGATCCATGCTGCTGTCGTCGGCGTATAGATGTCCCAAGTGTTTCGATGAGGCTGATAACAATTGCGATAGAGCGATGGTTTCACGGACGACATCGAGGAAGCCGATGTCGAGCATGGTTCGAAACATGGAACAAGTTCCATCGTACACTATAGCCAGAGTTAACTGCTGCTTAGACCAGTGGGACTTTTATACAGAAAGGTAGATCGTACTATGGTCCCAGAGCCGACGAGTTCGTCGATCGGTATCGATCGGGAATGTCCCGAAGGGGTCCGATCGGCTTGCATCCAGCATTGAGAGCGGAGCTAACGCGACAGAGCCATCTGTGCAGGACTGCTGCTTTTCATGCAATGGCGGAGAAAAAGGCAGAGGTAACGAAGCAGAGCCCTGCAGCAGCGGGTTCGTATCAACCTCAGTAGCTATGGTTTCCTTTCGCCTGGGTTTAGCGGTTCGTCGGCGATAGTCGACCATCGCGTGACTGCGAACGCGTCGCCGCGTGGCTGCATCTCCGGCTACATTGTCACCCACGACGGAGATAAACTCGAAGTGTGATGCACATGGGCGATCTCTGCTTCTGGCTGGCTTGTTTGTTGTCATTGTGACAAGGACTTCTATCTGACCCGGTGATGTACCCAGTGCATTGCGAAAATGAAATTGTTTCAGGGCAATCTTGGTCAAACGGTCGCAGCCGGAGCTTATCTCATCGGTTCCCCGCATGATGCTGGACCCCAGGATACAAATAGGCCACTAGAATATAATTTGTTTGCCATTAGTTTCACCTTTAATAGGGAAGCAGTTGCAAGTCCACTATAAACTAGGATACCATCACAGACCCGATACTCTATGCTGCCAACCACATCTACAACATAAATTACAACATAATCTCCATCAGCATAATGATTCTATAGTCTCACAGCACCGAAAACCAATTCTATATCCGACGGACACACTGCAGTATCAACATGATCATTGAGGTCGTATTTTAGCCTTTAAAACTGCCATCTAAGTATCTCCTCATCACATCAGCCCTCCAAATACAGGTATCGAATGTACATCCCTCAAGACCCCCGATACGTCGAGTAATTCCACGGCCCCAACAACACGGGCACATGGTAATGGCGCCACCCTTCCTCGCCCTCCTTGCCCCGCCCCTTGACGGTGAACTTGACCTCGACCTCGGGCCAGAAGCTCTCCACCCCCTGGGCCTCATACCAGGGGCCCACCTCGAAGCGCACCGCCCACTTGGTCTTGCTGTCGGGCGCGGGGAGCGCGGCCAAGATCGCCGGGACGGATTGTGCTTGTTGCGACGAGCCCGTGGTGGTGGGTAGGGGTTCCCAATTCGCGACGCGGCCGTCGGCGTTGGTGATCGCGCGGAACGTGGGGGTCTCTTCTGTGGCTGCACTGCCCGTGCTGCTGGAGAGGAGCGTCAGGGTCACGGGGAGGTTGGCGGCGGGCGTGCCGGTGAGGGTGTTGAGGACGTGGCAGGTGATCGGATCGCGGGACATTGTTGCTGTTGGGAATTTGGGGATTGGGTTTGTTGTTTTTGTTTGGGTCTGGGAGGAGGAGGATGGGGAGGAGGAGTGTTGGGTGTGGTTGTGGTTGAGCTGGTTGCGGATGAGGTTTAGACGCTCGGTGGGTTGGGCTTGATGGGTTGGTATTGGGCCTGTTGACGGCTGGTGAGGTTGTAGGGTGTTGTCCATGAACTGTCTCGACTCGATAGTAAGGTGCAGAGTGATTGAGGAGTATGGCTGTAGAATCGAGGGGAATGGTGAGCGATAAGGTAGTGAAGGGGGGAGTGGGGTTTAAATGATCATATCTCCGGTCCCGCATTGACTGCTCTATCGGAGAGCACCGATACCCCGCCCGCGGAGGATGCCACCACCAGCCTGGTAGCCAGCCTGGAGCTAGGCCGGGCTGGTGAGCTTGTTTCCTAATCCGGAAACTTGTCTTGGCACCGTGCATTCGAGTCCTCAGGCACAACTCGCCCGTGATTAACTTATTGACTGTTTGTTGACACTTATTGTATCCGAGCTTACACTGTAATCCTGCATTACTCTCACTTTCGTCAAGTACGGTCAATGAATTGGATCCAACGTCTCATGCTCTTATGCTCGATACAAATCGAATATACATGACGCATTCACTTAATCCTATAAACACACAGAAGACCATCACCGAGAAGCAATCACACGCTCCAAGAAATCAAACCCCCGTCTCTGCAACTCCCACGTCGGAGACCCCACCTTCATACTCATTGCAAACGTGTGATCCTCCCCGGGCACCTCAATCATCTCACACCGCACCCCCTGCTCCTTCAGCACCCGGAACAACTCCCGACTCACCTCGATGGTGACCTTCGTATCCGCCCCACCGTGCACAATACACGTTGGCGGGAACTGCGCATCGACGTGGTCGACCGGGTCGATCTCTTTGACATCCCGACCGGGATAGCACGCCTGGATGACCGTCCCGTTGGCGACCTGCGTGAGCGCGAACCCGTCGCGCGGGCGGCTGAAGTCCGGGCCCGGCACGACGCCAACCTCGGTCTGCCCTTCGAGGGAGATCGAGCTGTTCGTAGGCACGGGCTTCTCATCGTAGATCCGGTTGAGGAACGCGGGGTCGAGAGGCGGCAGCTTGCTGGCTACCTCGGGAAGCGGTTGCGTCCAGAACGGGTGGGTGAGGTAGGCCGGGGCGTAGAAGTCGAGGATCGCTGCTACTCGGCGCGGAACGTCCCATCCCTACGATCCAGCAGGGTACAGGTAAGTATCATCTTTGTTTCCTGACTGCCAATCGGGAGGGGAGGAGAGGAATAAGGTGGGCGCTTACCAGTGACAACGCCAATGTGCCTCCGGACGATGTCCCAAAGGCCATGACTCGGTCCTTGTCGACGCGGTACTGCGATCCATGCAAATGCGCGGCTGACTCCCCGGCAAGAAATGCATCGAGGTGGCCGTCGTAGATCCATGCCAAAAGATCTCGGCAGTCTGCCATCGGACCCTCGAGGATGTTCACCTGCGGACAGAGTCGGTGGTTGGGACTGACCACGATCCAGCCACGGGCCAGGCAATCGTCCACCTGGGGCATGCAGACCATCTTGGAATGGCCCAGCATGAACGAGCCGCCATGGATGTCGATTACTGTGGTTCTCGTTCAAAGGTCAGCGATCTCATTGATCTGGCTAGTTGTCATTGATGTTGCTGAGAACCTTGAGATCACATACACACAGGATAATTTCTCGGTTGTCCGTTGTCAGAGGCTGCTAGTGGTGGGAGATAGACATCTGTGTCGATCTTGCTACCGTCGATCTCCTTGTATTGGACTGTGAGGGGCAACGGGGGCATGTTGTCTGCTCTATTCACAATTTTCTCGTAGAAACGGCTTTGATCTTATAGTCAAGAATTTGCAATAGATCGTATACTCCAGGCAACGAGTCACAGATCTGGCTGTCTTTAGTATGTATGGTGCACAAGGTTAGATGAAGTTGGAGGAGTCCTGTAAATTGGCTTCTAGATGCAAGATAAATCTAGGCGCGGGTCCGTCCGGAAAATCCGACTGCGGGGAGGCGACCAGGGATATCCGGCCAGGGGAATGGGGGACCCATATCGCAGAACAGCATTTACCGAGGATACATATCTCGTCGAGTCAATCAAACCTTTTGGCTCAACATCGGTTTAGTGCCCACCGACGTCTCTACAGATTTATAGGCGAACTTTATGATCGAAGGAAGATAGATAGTTTTGATGAAGTCCTCAACTGACGACGGACTGGCACATAGATTAGCTCGTAAGAAGCAAACGTGTGAAACAATGCCAAACGGCGGCTCCGGCTGCCCTTCCCCAGAATTAGTACTTATTTTTCGTGCCAGCGCGGCTGCTGCATCCTGCAGGCCCAAACCGCTCGTCATGCCGCATTTGGCAAAGTCGTCACTCGCTGAGGCTACACCTCTGCTTGTCCTGGTATGCTTACAGGATTACAGAATATCCACGTAGCTGCAGTAGTGTGAGTCATTGGAACACATTAAAACTGAATTGAGTTTTCTGTACAACTACTTGTGGAGGAATTCGTTGACTACTTGGGTGAAGGCAGGAGCGTTCTCGACCATGGGCAGATGTCCGGCCTTGGGGATGAGCTTGAGCTCCGCATCGCCCTTGAGGTCGGCCGCCATTTGCTGCATGGTCTTAGGAAGCACACCATCGCCCTCGCCGGCGACAAAGAGACCTGGAACCTGCGCCTGCGCCATCTGTTCCCGGACATCGTATGCGCAGAGAGCCTGGACGCTCTGGCGGAAGCCTTCAAGGCTGTTGGTGCGCACCAACTCCTTCACCTGAGCGGGCAGGTGAGGCTGGGTCTCGTAGGACTCCGGCGTGAACCACCGACGGACCGTGACCTCGGCAAGCTCCTCACCAACAATCGTCTCCTGGGTGGTAGCAGAGACAGCACCCTCGCGCTCGGCCACTGCTACGCGATCATTCCAGGCCTTGCGGTTAGACTCGGGGCTGGAGCTGTTCGTATCGCAGGCGATGAAGCGCGTCACCCGAGTAGGGTAGCGCAGTGCGGTGTTGAGAACCGTGACACCTCCCATGCTAACACCGATCAAGGTGGCTTGAGGGATGCGCAGTGCATCAAGCAAGGCGATGATGTCGGAGGCGAGCACATCGATGTTGATCGGCTGCTTGCCACAGGCCTGCAGACGGCCACGGGTGGAGTAACGCAGGATACGGAAGCCCTGGTTGCGGGGATCCGCGAGGAAGGCGCTGACAAAATCATCCCAGATGGCGTAATCCACCAGAATCGAGTTACTCAGAACAATGACGGGGCTGTGAGGGTCAGTGCTGCCCTCCAACCGGTAGGGCAGGTCGACACCGTCCGCGGTGGTGACAAATGACTCGACGGCCGGGCGGGTAGGCGAGGGGAGAGTACGGGTGCGGCCGTCGTTGGACGACCACGGCCCAGCAACATCTTTGGAGGCGAGGGAAGAGAGCTCGCGGGGAGCAGGTCCGAAGGTGTAGGCCCACTCAAAAACACGACGACGCTGGCTGGTAATCGTGTCGTTCACAATCCGAGTGCGCCAAGGGGTATCCATTGCAGCCTTGTGTTCCGGACCTCCCAGGCCATTGGTGGCTTTGTACTCGTGGAGGGTCAAGTATTCGCGGGGGGCCTTGGGGTCGATGGCGGCTGTAACGAAGCGACGGGAGCAGCGCCAGCCAGGCACGCGGGAGAGCATAGGGATGTGTTCTTCGGTATACCAGCGGTTGTAGTCGGCCTCCTTGTCCGCGTCGTCGACAAGAGTGGTGGAGACAGCGACAAGCACCGAGCCGGCCACAGTGGTATCAGGTTGATCCTCGAGCGGAGTGTAATCGGCGGCTTTTTGTTCACCCAGGAAGTCGTAGAGGCGGCGATCGACGGCAATTTGAGCCATAGTCGCTTTCTCGCGCGGAGTCTTGATACCATCTCCCCGGAGAGCCAGGTAGGTCTCGCGCGTCAACTCCTCCATCTCCGTAATGTCATACCAAGCTACCCACTCAGGCTCCTCGCCATCCACAGCACGATACCGGAAACCGTTGGTCACGAAAGGCAAGCGTAGACGCAAGGGTCCATGTTCCGAGTTGTACCAGTCGTGGAATTGAGCGGCGGGGAGCGAGGGACGCGGGTGCATCGTCACGTAAAGCAAGCCGGGAGTCGCCATTTTGGAGGGATTGAATGGTGCGACACAGGGATCAATTGCAGCTGTTGAGTCGATGAGTGAATGAGAAAGACACCGAGTAGGAGACCCTGCAATAGATAAGTGAAGGAGGGGCATCCGACAGGATGGAGGGGCGTAGCACGGCCATGATTTTATTGTTCACTTGCCGCCTCCGACTTTCGACTGCCGAACACACAGCCGATGGACGGGGGGAAAGCCATTTACCGGAGGTTCGAATTCGCTCCGGAGCAAATCGCCCAGAGTCGTGCCGGTCTGCACGTGACATGCGGAGGATCGCGGGTGTTTGTGGTATTTGTGGTGTTTGTGGTGTTTGCTGAAATGGGTCTTGGTCCCCGCTTCCCCCACAGATTCCAAGCTACCCTATCATCATCTATGCAGTGCAGTGCTGCACTGGCTTGACGCAGAAGAACTGGGACGGACTGACCTACTAGGTATCTTACCCCCCCCCTCCTTTTCTCCTTTCTGACAATGTCTTCAAGCATGGCTCGCTCTAGGCGACTCTACTTCGATCCAGACTTGTACATGTACCTGCATTGCGATACGTCGATCCGGGGGAGGGCGACATTCCTGCTCTCGGCCCCATCCCTTCTTATCATCCGAAAACGGAAATCCTGAAGCACGCCCCTGGAGGGCTGAAGTAACATCAGAGTGCAACCGGGAAGAATGTTCCCTGGATCAAGCCTCTGGATCCTCTCTCAACGAGGGTATCTCAGGGTCTGAATGTTTTCATCCGTGTCACGTCTTGAGTTGGGTCCGCGGTCGTCTCGACTGGTCGCCGGCGTCATGCTCCTCGCCAGTGAGACTCTACATGCGGACAAAGTGGCCCGGTGGACATAATCGTGTTGCATTGAAAATCTTCGGTCGCCTGTATCAGTCTGCAGGCCTTTCAGTGATGTCCTAAACACCAGGACAGCTTCAGCTACGCAGCAATCGCGCCCCAATCTTCCACAATGGCCACCACAGCACCGAAATTAGATGAGCGAAAGAATGAGGAGAAGAACCAAGAAGAGAGCTCGATTCACGAGCTATCCTGTTCCTCTACCACTCCTTTATCGCCTGGTAGTGCAGAGTCAGAGGTAGTCTACACAATTGACGACGAAAAGACACCAGATAAGACACATTCGGAAGAACAATCAGGATCAAGCCTTCGTCTTCTAGTCTGGATGACAATCAACATTGTGTCTACTGTAGCCATCGTAAGGCACCAGAAACTCCTCATCTGAAGCAATGTGAGGCTCACTTGGATACCACAGGTTTTCACCAACAAGTCTGTCCTCTCGCATGCCATGCTTCGAAACTCCCAGGTATCATTTGCTGCATATCACTTCACGATCACTGGAGTGACCCTCTGGATCACCTCTCGACCCTGGTGTGGCTGGTTCGAGCCTAAACATGTCTCTGCATATCGCATCCTCCATCTTGTTGCAGCCATGTGCATCCAAGTGATATTCCAGAATCTTGCACTTGCACACTCTTCTGTTATCTTTCACCAGCTGGCGCGATTACTCCTTACGCCTGCAACTGCGCTGCTGAACTACATCCTCTATCAATCCAGTATCCCTCGCGCCGCATTCCTGCCTCTCATTGTACTCTGCACTGGCGTGGGGGTTGTCTCGTACTACGATTCTGTACCAAGCTCAAAGAGCACTGAATCGACCTCAGCGCAGGGCATTTTCTTCGCCCTCTCCGGTGTCTGTGCCAGTGCCATGTACACCGTGCTGGTGGGCCGCTATCATAAGAAGCTGCAGATGAGCAGCATGCAGCTTCTGCTCAACCAGGCGCCGATCAGCGCAGCTGTTCTACTCTGCATTGCCCCTTGGATGGAGACTTTCCCAACTGTCTCATCTGTGCCGGAGTCCCTGTGGCTGTCTATCTTGGCGGTATGCATTCCATCCTTCCCTTGGCTCTATACACTCAGCTAACTCACCACTCTGCAGAGCGGCATTATGGCATGTCTGGTCAACCTCTCTCAATTCTACATCATCGACGCAGCAGGGCCAGTTACCAGTACTGTCATCGGCCAATTGAAGACCTGCATAATCGTAGGGCTAGGTTGGATTCTTTCAGATCATGTGGTGTCACATCAGAGCGTGGCAGGAATCCTGATGGCCTTGACGGGAATGAGTTTGTGAGTTCGTACCCTTTCATTCGAAGATCAATGACTAATGTTGTGATCAGGTATATGAAAATAATTCTCAAGCATCAGAAATGATGCTCAATTGAAATAGTAATGGCGCACGGGAATAGGTAAAAAGGCTTTATGTATAGTAGTATAATTTTTAATGCCGGGGATATGATCGAAGCAAAATTATAAAACATGGCTGTCTGATGCCAATTCTGTGGTCTATTCATTCCATAAATTTCAGATACTAGATTTCCTTGTATTGGGCCGACTAACTTCACCAATTTCGAAATTTCAGAGAAGAATTATAAGCCACAGAGGTGGAGATGAAACAAAGCAGGACCTCGGCCAAAGTACACGTGACCGACAAGCTTGCAGGTGTTTGTCCCTTTTGCATTATGTTTGTCCGCGCCCTCCGCGTTTCCCTTATCGCCAACGACCCGTGTTCCTCGCCGCGTCCGTGACACGAAAATGACTTGATCTTGAACCCAACTCCCTCATTGGACCCCAACCTGCGCCAGTCCCTCAATCCGAAAAAAAGCCAGGCGCTATGACAGGCCGAAGTCGAAGACCCGGCAAGATCGCATGATGTCACACTGGTTCGCGCTTCAGGAGTCTGATGACGATGAGAGCGTGGTCGAAGAAGCCGAGAACCTCCTGGCGCAGTTCTTGGGACCTTCCAATCCTGTGAAACGCGAAGCCACACAGTCCGTCGATCGAACCGAAACCCCGACGATCCAAGACCGATCCCCCGCCACCGGCAGTACTCGCTCGTTGACCCTACCCCGCACGCCAGAGTCTCTGAGACCCAGATCTCAGGATAAGCTGCCCATCACGGATCACTCACAAGTATCGGACTCGACCAAGGCGGCGCGGGCGCGACGGTCGGGTCGTTCGCGGAAAGGCCCCGCTAACTATTACGATTGCTCCAACTACGAAGGCTTTGGGTCGAACAGTGAAGTTAGCCAAGACCACGAAGAGGCTGTGGTGACGTCTTCGCGACCGCGAAAAGGCCCTGCCAAAAACTACGATGGGTCGAACGATGAAGGATCTGGGCTGAATCGTGAAGTTAGCCGAGGTCGTGAAGAGACTGTGGTGAGGTCTTCGCGACCACGGAAAGGTCCCGCTAACTACTATGATCGCTCGAACTACGAAGGCTTCGGGTCGCACGGTGGAGTTGGCCAAGGTCGTGAGGAGGCTGAGTTACAGTCTTCACAACTACGGAAGGGTCCTGCTAGATGCTATGATCGCTCGGATTCCGAAGGCTTCGGGTTGGACGGCGGAGCTAGCCGAGGTCGTGGAGATAATATGTTGATGTCTTCGCGACCACGAAGGTATCGCAGTGATAGCCTGGTACCGAACCCCCCTCGGCGCAGAAGAGGTCGCAGCTACGCATCATCACCATGTTCCAGTGTCCAGCACAAGCCCGAACGACCACACCTTGACTCATGCCTAGCGACCCCCCCATTGCACGATACGCATTCCGGCCCAGCCAGAGATCCATCGAATACATTGACAGCACTTCTACAACAACGTCAGCTGGGACGTTCGACAGCGCGCAAGATCCGTACCCAGGCCTCCGATAACTTCGAAAAGTCTTGGACTTGGAAAGGCGCTTCCGGTGATGTGATTGTCTTGGGGTGGTCGCCCGATGGTACCAAGTTCGCAGCCGGGGCAGCTGCCCAGTGCGACGAGCACAACATGGCATATAACCAAAACAACAATCTGCTGTTTGGAGATCTGACCACGAATACTTTGCAAGAGCTACCGGATCACTGGGTACCCCGACCGCGGACGAGGGCCGCCAATAACCTGAACCTTCACGATTCTCGACTCTTCATGAGTGTGACCGCCATTGAATGGTGGGATGACGCTCTCTTCACGGCTAGTTATGACAACACCGTGAGACTGTGGCATTCATCTAGCAAGGGGACAGGGTGCTTCGAACGGTTGTGGCATGATACCAGGGTTGAAGTGATGGCCCGCTCGAAATACGTGCCCAATTTATTGGCAACGGGGACGCGTGAGATCGGCCTCTGGAGACTGGACGAGCGTACTTACACATTCCTCGAAACCCGCAAATCTCGTTCGAACAAGGCTATTGAGATGGTGCCTTCCTCTCTTGCCTGGGGCACGATTCAAGAAACTGGCAATATCCTCCTTGCCGGATTGTGTGAAAAGGGCCATGATAGCCTAACGCCCGATGGCCAGTTGCTAGCTTGGCAAGTGAGCGAAGCTTCAATCACGCCCCTCAACCTCTTACCCGGCTCCCAAAACGTCTTCGATATCAAGTGGCACCCGTCTTTACCAGTTGCTGCCGTGGCGAACTACATTGCTCACTCCCCATACAAGGCCTTCAAAGAAAGCAGATCATCCGTTCGTATCTATGAGCCGCTGAGCTCGAAAGTCAGTGTCATGGAATTCGAATGCCCTGCTTTGGATATCAACGATGTGACATTTTGTCCTACGAACACGAACTACCTCACTGCTAGTTGCACCGATGGCGCGACATACGTCTGGGACTATCGCAACCCGGCAGAGATTCTCCACAAACTTCAGCATGGTGAAGTGCTGAATCCGATAGATCAGAATCAGAGTCGCGAGCAAGTAGATGTTGGCGTGAGAACGGCTCTGTGGGGCAATACGGTTTGCGAATTCTACAGTGGAGCCACCGACGGGGTGGTGAAAAAATGGAATATTCTCCGAGCTCCAGAAGATGTCCTCGAGAAAGACCTTGCAAGTCTTGACGAGGAGATCATGAGTCTCTCCTTCTCACCCGATAAAACCAATCTCCTAGTCGGGGATGCCGCTGGCGGAATTCACATGCTATCTTCGGGGCCCTTCTCGCGCACGGAGGATAATGCTATTGAATACAAACCTGCATGTGAACCACCAAGGACCGAGTCCCCCGATAAGCCGGACTCTGGAGTCGCTGCAGGCGCCGAGTTACTGCGGTCTGGCCAGCTTGAGCGGCATCCTATCTATGGGGTTGGAAAAGGCCCGTACTACGATGGTCCATTCGCGGCGTGGGCACGACCAGAGAACACGCCGGCCGATGAGCTTGCGTATACGAGGTTGGCAGACAAGTGGCAAGCTCTGCAGCTCGATGGACTTGACCCTAGGTATCGGTTTGCACTGGGAGAGAAAGACCAACAGCAGGTGGAATTGCAACGGAAGATCGCGCAGGCGCGGAACCAGCGGGCTGGTTACAAGAAACGGATCCATATGGATGCCAAGGGCATCATCGACCTGTGCAGCGACGAGGAGTCGGAGATCTCCGAGCCACCCTTCAGACCCAAGCGGCGACTGGCGGAATCCCATATGAATGTGGCAGGGGTCGATGTGATTGACTTAACCTCAGATCCGGTGCAGGCCCCAGTCCCCGAGCCTCCTATCTCAACTGCACCCGCTGTCTCGTCCACACCGGTTCGTTCCGGTTTGTCGAGTCCTGTCGATGAAGATCTATGCGAGGCGCTGGAGGAAGATTTCTGGTGGCCGCCGAACGAAACGGTGGATCCAAATTTCAAAGATGACTGAATACAATATGCATGGAATGTTGAAGATCTACACGTTCGGTGCCCTGTGGGTAGCTAGTCATGCCTTCATATGCACCTTGATTCACGATGCGGAACTATATTTCATGTCACATAGCATCGTTTAAACCGTGAAGCTGTATTAATACAACATTTAAAAGGGCAGTGTTGTGCAAATCTCTTCGTATTATATTTCTCTTCTTGTTTATTGCATATCTGCTGGTGTTGCCAGACAATCACACACCAAACAGTTACATAGTGTAAATCCACCATAAAGTTGCATACTTCCCACAGATACGACTCGGTATTCGCCCCGAAGAACAAACGCGGTTCCCCTCCGATGCCGACATCTCCGCCCACCGTCGGAAAAGCTTGCGACGAACCGGAAAAGCCCTCCTCGGGATGAACTTACCCCGCAATATCCGGGGCCCTATATAAATAATTAAAAAGCGTCCTGCAGATGCAGCTACCCCAGCCCTTCCCCGCACTGTCCACTTGAACTTCAACAAACACCACCACCTTCTTCCATCACCCGAGGAGGGCACCCCAGAATGAGCAAACCCGAACCGACCATCCCCTTCGAAGCCCTGCCCCTCGACCCCGCAGGCCCCCCCGGCAACGCCTGGGGCCGCTTCGGCGCCGCCGACCAACTCGGCACCCTGAACCTGCTCACGCCGGAGGTGATCGTGGCCGCGGCCAAGGAGATCCGCACGGGGGTGCGCATCTCGCTCGACTGGCCGCTGAGCATGCCCACCTACCCGAGCTTCGAGCGCGACCCGTTCCACCAGCGGATCGTGCACCGGCGGCCCAATTGCATCAATGATGATATCCTGACGTTCAATACCCAGGGGTCGACGCAGTGGGATGGGTTCAGGCATTACGGTGCGTGATTCTTCTCTATCTGGGGGCGGGGGAGCTGTGCTGTGGCTATGGATGATGGGTGCAGGGTGAATTGCATTGTCATTTTCAAGCTGACTGGGGATAGCCCATCAGCAGAGTAAACGGTTCTACAACGGGCATACGCAGGAGGAGATTGAGGGGACGGATGTTCTGGGGTTGCATGGTTTGTCTCTTTGTCTATCCTTTTTGTTGTGGCAGAAACTGCCTAGGGCGAGAGGGCCAGGGGGAGGAGACGACTAACCCTGGATTGTCGGTAGTGGTCACCGAGGCCGGCGGCATCACCGGCCGGGGCATCCTGCTGGACTACGCCAGCTGGGCGGACGAGCACGACATCCCCCTCGCCCCGCTGACCTCCTCGGCCATCCCCGTCGCCCACCTCACCCGCCTCCTCGCCGACCACGGCGTCCAGCCCCGCCCCGCCGACATCCTCTTCATCCGCAGCGGGTTCACGCGCGCCTACCACGCCCTCTCGGACGCCGAGCGCCACGCCCTCGCCCGCCGCCCGGCCCCGGACTTCATCGGCCTCGAGGCCTCCGAGGCCGCCGTGCGCTGGCTCTGGGCCCACCAGTTCGCCGCCGTCGCGGGCGACGCCCCCAGTTTCGAGCGCGCCCCCATCCGCGGCGCCCACGCCGACCCTCGCTTCAACCTGCATGAGTGGGTGCTAGCCGGGTGGGGATGTCCTATCGGGGAGCTGTTTGATCTCGAGCGCTTGGCAGAGCATTGTCGCGAGACGCGGCGGTATGAGTTCTTCCTGGCCAGTGTGCCGTTGAAGGTATGTTTTTTTTTTCTCTTTGCTGCGCCGGGGAGGGAAGGCATTGATCGGGAATGGAAGGATTCCAAGTCGGCTGGAGTTCGTTGGGCTAATTCGTGGATTTTCTTCTTTTTTCTTTTTTTTTAGGTTGTTGGAGGCGTAGCGACCCCGCCTAACTCGGTGGCTATCTTCTGATCCTGGAACACGGGATGTATTCCATAAGGATCCGTGTTTGGTGGTTGAATGGTGTATATGAATGGCAGGATATCAGAAGAATTGCAAGTTTGTACATAGTGGAGTGGAATGATTCTGGTAAGTTCGTCGTTTATGAACGTGTATGTGGATATTAGAGATTATGAGATGTTGCCGGGTGGCAAGGTATATAGCATAATAGTACAGATTGAAGTAAAAAGACCATTACCGTCGTTATGTGGCTTTTTCAATGCATGGAGAACATCCCGCTCTTGAGTCTCCGTGGGTTCTCGTCGTGCAAGGCTTCGGGCCAATCGACGTTGACGTGGGGACCAGGGATGTCGCAAGTCTTGATCTCTGCATTCTCTTTGTGGTTGTAGCTTCGTAGGAGATGGGAGCAACCTATTACCCTGCAGTCGCTACAGTCGATCGCTCAAGGATTGACCGCGGTCGCGTTTCATCCATGTTGTTTCACGCTGAGGTCTGGTCCGGCCCGGGTGTATAGGTAGCGCGCTGTTGTGGTCGGGATCGGTATGAATGCACTGTTCAAGCGATGGGAAGGCTGGCCGAAAGTCCGACCTTTGTGAGTAAAGCACCGCAGAGCGTGCTGTCACGACCGGACGATGCGTTGCACGGACTTGGAGTCAGAATTCCAGGTCAAAATATTTGAGCCTCAGTTATGCAAGAGCCCCTTGGCCGACCGGTTGCGACCGTAGGTGGTTGCAACCGAGTGCGAAAAGTCTTAATGGCGGACGGTGGTGAAAAGCCATTCTTCGAATAGGACAGCAAGGGGATGTGATGTATAACTGCAGGCATGGCTGCAGCAATGGCAGTCTGCCATCCACGGTCGCATCGCCTACCCAAGTCACGGCAGGCATGCGCGCCATGTTAATTAATGCCTCAGGGACGGATGATGCTGTTCCTGTGTCGCTTTGAGGGGCCTATATCGCTGGGAGACGGTTCGTATGCGCTCTCCGTTGTGACTTCGATCGTCGTATGCTGCATGACCACGCCCATGGGTGCCAGCTCAAGGCCCCCTTTGCCAATCATCTCCTCGGTGGAATCACTGCGGCCTCGGGTAATTGTCGTTGACGTCGGTCCCTTCGGGTCCGCGCTCATGGCATATTGATTTGCGGCCGATGACTTGTTTCGCCGACTGGAGAGCTTGTTGCTGCTTCCTCGGGCCTCGGATTCCACCACCACACTTCGGCGGGTCACGACGTACATGAAAGAATCGCAGAATCCTGAGCATGCCATGATAGAGCCCGCGAAACAGAAGTAAAGCACGCTTGGCGAATGACCCCCCGCGGATGCCATGCGACCGGCCGCCAATGGCAGGGTCAGACAAATGTAGACGACGGGATAGACAGCCATGTGCATGATGACCCTTTTCAACCGTCGCAGACTCTCGGAATTGTGCTCGCCAAGAACGGCCGCTTCAGACATCTTTTGGCGCAGTTGGATAAACATGATGGCGTAGAGTGAAACCGTGAAGAATTCGGAGGCGAAAATCCAAACATAGTGCGTCCACAGTCGCATGTTTTCGTATTCGGGAGTCATCCAGCACTGTTGAGAACTCAGTTAGCTAACATTTCGCGACGGGCTATCTCCACATAAAGCAAAGACGCAAGGACTGACCCAGGCCACCGCAGGATACCACACGTATCGTCCGTGTGCAGCGATAGGAATAATGGTCATTACCACCCCAAAGACCCAGAGACCAACGACCATGCTCACAAAAACCCGATGTTCCATCTGATAGTTGAGGCAGACATGCAGGAACGTGTGCACCGCAATGGCGAGGACGAAAAGACCACTCATTGGGTCGCCGATCTGAAGCCCCACCCCCTGCAGGAAACACGCGGCATCTGTCGCTCGCACCGCATCGATCGCAATCCAGCGGAGAGACATGATGAACCCGAAACTCTGCAGGAAATCGGCCAGAATCAAGTTGAACATGAGCACGACATACTGATTGTAACCAATGTATCGCCGATAGTACTGGCGCCAGAAGATGAATCGATATGTAATGAAGCTCAGAAGCGCGAAGGTCGTGAACATAGAAAGCAAGGCGAGTGCAGAAATCACGATCAGACCTTTTCGTTGCAAATTGGACAGTGGACTGATCACTGCCGAGCCTTCTTCCCCACGTGAATGCAGGGAAGGGCCGTCTCTAGCCGGGCCAGCCCCCAGAAACGACTCAAGTGCGATGGTCAGCATGGCAAAAGACGTTGAAAAGGCAGGGGTTTTCCCGCTGCACCATTTGGCGCGGCGTTCGGGCTATATAATCAAGGATTTGCCCCTGGGTACCTGGCATTGGCCATGGCGCTGTGTGGTGGATAGCAGGAGCTTCACATAGAGCAATGATCGGAGGCATAGCGCACCATAGTAGGCTTGTCCAACCCACACGTCAAGGTTTGCAATTGCCGATACGGGCTCGGGCGTGGACCGAAAGAAGTTATCATCCGCGACGTGCTGCGCGTGGAATCTCCACCCCGTCCGCCTTCATGTTACCTTGGCCCATACTGTTGGATTAGCCTCTGGCATGAAGCGAATGGGGATCAGAAGCAGTTACACTAAGCTTTGGGCTTGCCAATCTGGGACTCTAGCCCCTGGGACATTCGCCATTCCGACAGAAAGGGCGGACGGTGTGCAGGCAGGCAGCACGTTCTGTCTTTCACTAGTACTACTCTAGTATGGTAAGCCAACGCCACGCGGCTTGCTTTGAAAAGCTTGACAAGCCCTTGTTGATCCTCGTAGGTCAGGGTCTAGGCTAGCGCTTTGGTGGCAAGTTGCAATAACTCTTTCGACTGAAGCTCCCGTGTTTATGAAACATGACTCGGTCAGGGGCAACGTGCTCAGCCTGATTGGAGGAATCTTGCTAGGCTGCAGGTAGCAGAGCTCGAACTTCACGCCTCGTCGTCTAGTTCGTGGGCAGCAGAAGCACGTTAGTCTAGCCTAGGTAGCAAATTTTCACCTCCCTTTCCAGAAGGGCCCAACTTACGCTTACTCCACGTGCGGGGCGCCAGCCAAGGTACTGTCCGGAGTACTCCGTACTCATGGTACTCATGGGTATTTTGGCACCACCCACAAGCCGCGTGCTTTCATCAACCGTAGTGCATGGTTGTAGAAAGGTCTGGGGGTCTGGGTTTTCAGTACCATGGCATGCGTGAGATAGGACAGGAAAAGTTGAGTAAATGAGGAAGAGGAATGGAGATGAAGAGGTTGGTTGGTGTTTGAATTAGTCACCGTTGGTTTGACTGGGATTCAGTTTCAGTTGCCGAGGATTCTGCGCGGAATTACCGCCCCACATGACTCGACGTTTCTTTGGCCACTTCAATGTTCATGATGTTAGACAGGTTTATTTAGTTTATTTATTCGCCATCATCATCTTGCAGCCTCCGTCTATCGGTCCATCTCATTTGACCTTTGGGCGAACGTGAACATGAATATGGCCAACTTGACTTGGACCAAAAGCAATCTCCCACACCACACCCGCCCGCACAAGAAAGAAAGGGGAAACCTCGTCACGGATCATTTCTGAAAGGAGCTGGCTTGGCATGGGCGCTTCCCCGTGCGATGGCAGTGAGACAGTGAGAGATAGTGTGGAGCCTGGAAAGATTGACTTGTTGATCCTTTCGCCGGGATATGAGCTCCGGACATCCCATTCCTCCATGCCGCCTAAACATGTACTGTACAGTCGGAAAGGTGGTATGTGGAGTCAACGATCATGACCCAAACAAACACGGCTTTATACGAGCACATGGCTCTCCGCGATACTTCCCAGATCTTCTCCATGGACCATCAGCCGTCCTCCTTCAGCCCTATCACGATCGCAACCAGGGTTCCGAGCTACAATCCAGTACCACGGAACCACTGCCGCAGCGAGTCAGCTCTATCGAGATCAGCAAATGGTGGATTCGATCCCAACCACGAGCCAAGGCACCAAGCGGGAAAGAGAACCAACCATGAGCTTACCACCTTCCTATTTGGTCGCCATCCACGAGGTCTAGTCTAGAGTTCGCGCTCCAACTGATCGGCCTTTGATCACTCTTACTATGCAAAACACGACCGCTTGAGCTTAGGACCCCCTGCATGATATCTGCACAAGCTTTTGACTTCACCATCTGTGGCTTGCACTAGGGCCCCATCGGGTTCTAGTCTGCAAGCCATGCTCTGACCACATCCAGGCTTCAGGGGAGGGGGGCAGCGTGGAGGGAGTTTGCTGCTAGGTAGTCCAAATCAGTTACTTCTGATGAAGACCATCGTCATTCTTCTTCGAAGTCGTGCCTTACGTTGCGAACAAGACACTAAACCCAGGAAATAGGGGCGAAGTCAAACATTGCTAGTAACCCGAAGACCAGATATGTCCTTATCCCGTACATTGGATTTCAACGCTTTCCGTTGTTACTACAGCATTTCCCCGTTTTGGAGGCCTAGTGCTTACAATCAAAGCTACCGGCTGATCAGCCGTGGCCCGTGACTGGGGCTGAAGCAAGTCACCATGGTTCTTTATTTTATCAAATTATTGGATTTCAAACTAAAATATCTGAAAGGTATCGAAGCCTTGGGCTTGAGAGTAAGATGTCGCCTCAGACCCGGGGCAACTCTGGCGGATCATCTTGGTAGCTCTCTCGTAGCAGCTGTTGGTCAAAATAATCCTTAAGAGTACCTTGCTCGTACTGTTGCATCCAATCATCAACGAACCCTTTGATCGCACTTCGAGAAGTCATATCTTTATGGGTATACTTAATACGCCCTATCAGACTCCAAAGGAGAAAGAACGAACCATTGACCTTGGCCAGGAAATGTTGTTCCAAGTCTTTCCTTTCCAGAGGCGATGTATCTCTGACAAATCGGGCCCCCCAATCCTCGTCCTCGTGCAACAGTGCCCAGCGGATGTACCATAACATATCCGCCTGACTCACCTCATGCATGATGAAACCGGGATAGGCCTTCAGACCTTCCTGAAACTCCGCCTCTCCGCGGCTTGAGATGCAGATCTTGACGTCAAGCGGCCGGGCGGACACCCACTGCTTGAGGTGATCCAGCATCCTGGAAAAACCTTGCTTGAAGTGGCTCAGACCTTCCAGGTATAGCACAAACTTGTCGTCCGTGTAGATGTCATCTAGCGTCACAAGCCTATCCCAGGCGAGAAGCACCTCTTCATCGTTAATAACACAAGGGTCATGGAAGCCGCGCGGATAGGAATCGCACTGCCGTGGAAAAAGGCGCGGGGCCAGCTCTGGCTTGTCGACGATGAGGGACCAGAGGATGGCCCGAAGCATTGCTTGTAGGTTCCACTCACATGATGTCTCCCGCGTGCCGTCCGTCCTCCGGAAGAAAATTATCGTCTGCGTCAGGCGCTTGGTCTTGCACCACGTCTGTAGGTGCTCGCGGGCGACCTCCGAGTGGGCAATATAATACACCATCTGCGTTTTCCCGGAGCGAGGCTTGCCGGAGATGTGAAAGATTCCGTTATCCGAGTACTTGAGCCAGCTGGCCAAGGCATTTCGCGCCGGCTCCAGAGCCCAGCGGTGCTCCAGGGACATCAGGGATGGGCTGTCATCATCCAGTAGGCACGACCTTCGCTCGTGAAACATTGGATATATGAACAAGGGCCCTTCGGGGCGGTAAGGCCTCCTCTCAAAGGGGAACCCACCATAGCTCTTGTACCAAGGCCCGGCTTTCAGTCCGTCACAAACGTCCCGCCGAACATCTAGAAGAAACGTTATCTCCTGGGGAGAGGGTGATGATGCCGAGGACATTATGTTCACTCTGTTAGATAGCCCTCTATCGATCTTTTGCGCTTCAGGTTCTCGCGAGATGTGCTCGGTCGGATGTGAATTGAAGAATATCGAATTTCCAGGTGTCTACAGCTCTATTTATGGACGATGACTCGCCGTAGGCAGCATATTGACAATGGTCGAGCTGATGACAATTCCCGCAGATTGATAAGGGGTTAATGGGATTCCCTTGTTTGTAGGTTCTTTCATTGCCTCATTGATGTTTAACCTCCCTCCCCCAAGACGCAGATGGAGGAGGTAAAGAGGGCGGCATCATTTCTTTGTGCGCCTTCAGCAGTTCCTCTGTTCCCAGTCAATAAAGGCATGCACGCAAGTAGACTGCCCGATGATGCATACTAGTATGCACACTTGTGTATCGAGTTCGTGCCATACAACAGAATAAAGATGAAAAGATTGTTGATCACGGATGTACCTTTCCAGGGCGTGAAGGCTATACCAAAGGATTAACTTATATCCCACTGACCACTTAGACGCAGGAAGGCGCTTAGGGATACGAGACCATTATAGAGGATTGTACTGGGCTTCAGCGGCCGAAAACATTGCTATTAGAGTTCAGAAGAGAATACGTTTTACCACCTATACATGTAGATGCTTTGAGGGCCTATTTCCCATGGGCAGTGAACTTGTCACCCCTATCTTATTTAGAACAATATGTTGGGACAATACATAAAGTACAGAGGCTGGCGGCGGCAATTGAAGTTTTGTACGGTTTACAGCCCTACCGCCTTCCCTTCAGGGCCGTTCTGCCTTACTCTACATGGACGGTCCCCCGCTCATAATTGTATTAATCATTCGGTGTAACTTACTGTAAATACTTTACTGTATGTACTCCTACAATAAGTTAGTCGGCATTTCTAAGTTACCGTCTCTGCTTCTACCATAGTGTACGAAACTGGCCACTTTGATATCCTTTCTGGTTTGCACTCTGTTGTTGCGCTTATTGACTACCTAGTACTTGTTTCTGGTCTCTTGGGTCGGGATCTGCTCTGGAGATTCACTTTCGATCATTCACCATCTCAGCCTGGACCTTGTCCCATGAGGAAACGGGGACTGCTGAGCAAATGACACTACGTACTGCTTTCCATAGAAGGCAGTCAGTCTTGTTCTGGTAGAGAAATCGGTTGCCTTTCTTGGCCGGGGGTAGAAACAGAGGTACCTCCATCACTACCATTGTCATTCCTTACGGTGTTATATGTCATCAAATAGGATGAAATCTCTTTCCCTAACAGACGAATTCCAAGACGTCCCTGTCTCGCAGACTGGTGTTCCAGACTAACGATCTTGACCTACGCTTGTAGAAATGATTCATTCAGCCTAGCCATGGCAGCATCCCGTTAGAATTCCTCACCAAGATCCTGAGCAATGAAGGCCCCTGCAGTACTTGGTGCTGGCAGTGACTCCTTGAACAAGCACGCTTGCGCTTTCCCCATGGTCTTGCGGTCAACGATCCGTTGTTCACGTATGCGTTGAATTGCAAACGAATGTCTTAGCCCGGCTGAGACAGCTGGCTACCTATGGCCGGTCTGCACTTTCATTCTCGTCACCCTCTCCTCCTTTTCTTCTTCCCACAGTTCTGATCATCATCATCATCATCATCATCATCATCATCATCATCATCATCATCATCATCATCATCATCATCATCATCATCATCATCATCATCATCATCAT